CATAAATGGAAACGCGGACCTACCCGGCCCGGCCATCCTCCGCGGAGGACGATACGGGGAAGTTGGAGCCATAAATCAACATAATTCACACTAACTTATTTATAGAAATGTGTTTTTGAACAAGTTTCAATTGTTATGATAAGCACAGCCCACGAGACAAGTCTGTTCGCTGTTGTTTCGGGATAATCAGCAAAGTTTCTCGTGTAGGTATAGCAATCACTGTACAAATCTTCAGCCCACTGCGTCTTTTCGCACTTAAATTAAATCTATAGTTCATTTCAAAATTGAATAGAAATTAAGCTAGTTTGCTTATCCGCCCCATTATGGTTGGAGTGAGACCTTTCTCCTCCAGTGGGTAGTACCTATTCTACCTATACAGGCTTGCTTTGCAATGTTTCAGTAATTAGGTGTAGTTATTTATAAAAGTGGCTCGTCGCTCCCTGAAGCTCGAAGCCTTGGCACGGTTGGCGCGGGTTAGCCCGGCCTCGCCGATCCAGATGGCCAACCCTCATTAAATTCGCATTACGACCACTGCCTCAGCTAACAGGCTGTGACATTTTCATCCATTTACCAGCACACACACTGTAACTGTAACAGCATTACAATGCCGTGATTCTTTGGAAAAATCAAAGGTCACAGATGTTTATCGAAAGCCGTTCGCTAACAAGGACTCGAAATCTAAGTTTAGCCCTTTTATGTTTGACAGAACAGGAGCCAGTCACGCAACTGGAGGACTTGTCGATCTGTAACGTGACGTCAGCGTGTACCTACGTCATTCGATGCTTGATGGCTTGAAGCCGCCACACACATTATTCTACTAATATCATAAATGCGAAAGTAATTCGCTATCTGTGAGATGGGTTTTGTTGTATCGATTAGATAAGAATAGATTGAACCTCCCAAACCTTTTGACAGGACATCCCTTTGTCACAAGAAGGAAAGGGGTGAAATTGGGAAAGAAATTTTGATAGGGTAGCCGGTCATCATCATCATCGGATCATCAACCGGCATATGAAAATTTTGAAGTGCTTTTGGCAAGGTGTTTTTTGATATGATAGAGAATATTAATTTTATTGTATGTACGCATAATCCGGTCTTTGATTAAACTTGATGTATTGTAGTTTGAAATTGCTGAAACATTTTGAAAGAAATGACAAGTAATTATTCTACGTAGACGAGGTCACAGGTACCAGCTATTGATATTTTAGGCAAACGCCGGCTCGCAGGTAAAATGAGGGTCTTGCTGAATTGTATTTTGATGTATTTTTAGACGACTTCCTTTATTAATTCAATTTGAAAGCTCATGTTAAATGTATATTTAGGAGTTTCATATTCCATATCATATTTTAAATTACAATGAGGGGTTCGTTGAAAGTATAATTCGTGGCGATGTTCATTTCGCTGGTAAACAGGTCGCGTCATAAGTCAGCTTTGAATAATTCGTTTTTGCTGTATGTAGCTTGGTAGCGATGAGTAAAAAAAATGATGAAACACAAGATCCTGGTTGTGGCAAGGAGGTTATTATCGCGGTGACGTCGCCGGCGCCGACGTCAAGCCGTCGCTTCGCGTGAGTTCATTCACGAATTTTATCCGTCCACGGTCACGGCCGCCGAATGTGTTTGCCTGCTTTATCTTATCAAACAACTCAATTCAAAGTTCATTTTCAAAATAAATGATAGCGACAACGACCCAACTTTTTAAAAATCAATGAGCGACTTGATGGAGATTATGGGATTATCCTGTAACAACGCCCATCTGAATTCCTGGGGACTGGGTCTGCGGGTGTCTATGCAGTAATTACTTACCATCAGGTGATCCGTCTGCTCGTTTGCCTCCTGTCATATTAATCATGTGAAGTGGAGAAATGTCTCCGTTAGAACAAGGCTAAGATGGGTTGACATATTGAAATAAAATTCTTAAATGAAACAATCTGTTTACTAGCTCATTATTCATGAAAGGATGCACGCACTTCCTCACCGACTTATCAACTCATTAAAAAAGTTACTAGTGTAAGCCACAAAGTAATGCGTATTTTTTCCTTCATGAAGGTAATATAATACGTGTACCTACTCATTAATATTCAAACGTCGCTAGTGAGGTTACTAAAAAAATAGAGCGTTGGTAATTCTACCACTTACTCTACCTTGCGTATTATATGCATCCGTAGGTGTGAGTGGCCTACGACCTCGACACACTTGCTAAAATACAATAACATTCTCATTAGACCGCGTGTCGTTATTTCTCGACGTGGAGCCATCAAATAACACAGCGCATTATAAACGTCCCTTTGTCCGAGTGGCTCGGCTCGTTAAAAGTCCTGCCAGGATGGGAACTAACGAGTCCGGCATTAAAAAACCGTCCCTTGCAGGCGGTCATTGGCAGCGGGTGGGTCGGGCCGCATTCCTGTGCGCCGGAGCACTCGCCTACACGCTCCACGCCTACCCGGCCGGCTCGCGGAGGCCCCGGCGCACGCCTCGCCGCATAGAGACCTCCTGTCACGACCACTCGGCCGGCTTGCACCGCTTCGTGGAGCCACCGGCCATACATACTTGACTCGTTCATTAATAACACGAGCGGCCGTGTCGCGGCTTCCGGCGCTCGCCGCCATACAAAATATGAATTGGATTCGCGCGAAGCCGTTGTCACCCACACAATGCTCGCCACAAGTAGCTCGGTACTCATTGTAGCGAACGCTCCCATTGTTTCAACGAAGAGGCGACATTTCTGTGAATGACGGTGTAATGTCACGCTAGGCTTACACTATCGGGGTTTGCGTAATGGGATCGGCTCACCCACATGAATCTAAAATCAAAGCGACTACTGTCGATGCCATTATCAGATCATTGGGTATGGCGTCGGTGCGTGGGCGAGCTCCCCTGAATGGACGTATCGGGCTCCCACGCGCCGCCCACGCACCACGGCCACGCTGCCTACTATGTATATGCCGGCTCGACATAGTACTTTATTATACATAGCTGCTCCCTGCCCGAGCCCACTCGCACGCCGAGTTAATTGTCTAGCTGACCATTTACTTGACACTGATCTAATTGCTTGCCATTCGGTAGGAGTCAGTCCACGTGTAGGTTTGCCTGACGATGACGAAATGACGATCCTTATTTGTGAGCTTTCCTATCTTGAACTGGTTAGCAGATTAGGAGCGGTGTTGTTTTGTTTCGCATATTGAATAGAAGATAAAATTTGCTTATCGTGTTTGCTAAACGGATTAAGAATTCGTTGTTTATAATTTTCAATATTAGCATGTCAAGATAGTGAGAATACGTCACAAGCTGTCATTACACGAGGCAGATAATAAATGAGTAGGACATTCTTCAAATCGACCCTTTTAGGTAGTTTTAATGCTCAAACAAAAGCACTTTAGACATATCCATCCACAAGGTGGCTGATGTTTCAGGTGTTTATTGACGATACCGAGGTGCGTGGGCGAGACATCGGCTGTGCGGCGACTTGACAGGAGCGTGCGCCTAATTTGATTGCTTTCAAAACAGCAAACTGAATGGCGGCGAGACGATTGAGAGGGCGAATTTGGAAAAGTGTCGCGTGGGATGAGACGCGTTGGAGCCTCTGGCGCGGGCGGCGCGGGGGGCGAGGAGAGAAGGACGCGTTGTGTGGGCGGCCATTGAGCCGCGGGGGCAGGTGAATGGTGAACCCCCGGCCTCTTCCCCCATTGAGCAGGCTGCGATCGATCGCCGCCTCCGCCCGGGCCGCGCCGACATTGAGCCCTAAGCCCCCGCACGGCGATACGGCTCGTGCACGAGCTTGCAGCCCTTTGATCATTTTTACAGATTAAGAACACTGAACGGCTATTATCGATGCTCATGAACTTATGTTGCCCATTGACATACTTTGGACTGTCTTCATACACTCGCAAACTATTTCGGGGCAACAGATATAAACTTGTTTCAGCGTATTCTTAAAAGATTATGATTATTACGTGGTAGTCTTGAGATCGCCTGCCTGATACATGATACGATACCTATAACATGAGATATACAAGCTTCTATGGCTATCTGCCTTTCAGAACTTCCATGATAGCCATTATAATTGCGTGGTCGTAATGAATGAAGCTATTACAACGGGCCACTTAATGGCTTCTATGAATAATTCGGGAGCCCAGTTGGCCGAAGACGACAATATGACGAGGGCATGTAGTAAATTAAGTTAGAGTCGGTTCCATCGGGCGTCCGCCGGGCCGGGCACGCCGTGGTCGCGTGATTGATACTAAACGCATTAGCTATGTGTTTAATGGCAGCGTTCGTTATTGGATTATCTTGTTCATTAGGTTTCGCCGGCAGCCGCGACACGCTCGGCCCGGAAGCGCCGGCTCTTGCGTAACGTAATTACGCTCAAACGCTGTGAACGGGCCCACATAATCGGCGCGTTCGACAAATTCAATCAACCCTTCGCGTTCGCTCTCAAGGTTTTGCTAGACTGCCACGAAAGTTCATTGATGTTTTTCAATGTCAATACTTGGGTGTCACATTCATTCCAAGAATAACTAACCTGTACAATTTGCTGAATATTATGGAAGGTTGGATGTGGCTTTGACCTTTAATATTAGGGTAGATTGAATAGCCCAGAGCACACAATGACACAAATATCATAGAAATGGAACCGAATGCTCACTGGAATCATTCAAATGTAGCTCATCGTTGTTGCCATTAGAATCTCTGTCAATTCTGATCGTAAAACTTTTGATGAAACAAATGTTGTACGAACTGTACATGAACGGAAACTGCATTTTAAGGCATTCTCAGTATCAAAAATAGAAAACAACAGCGAGAAGAGAGTAGAGGACCTTGACTTGAACAAGTTACGGTTACGCTATGTACTGACTGAGATGGCCTGTCGTTCACATCTCACATAACCACTGCAATTCCTGACGTATGACCAGGATTTATAGCTTGAACTGTCAATAAATATCCAACCAGTTAAGTTTGTCCCGCACCACGTGGCTAAAAAGTTTTACTCTAAACTTCCAGGTCGCTCCGCATCAGCGGGTCGGGCTGCGACGAGTCGCTGTCGTCGGGCTCGTCGTCGGAGTGCGACGAGGCACACACGCACGCGCCGCAGGAGTTTCCCATCGAGATCCTGCCCAACCTCTACCTCGGCAACTCCACCAACAGCGAGGACTGTGATGCGCTGGCCAGACACAACATAAAGGTGAGACAGGCACTTCTTTAACCTTCAGAAGACATTACAAAACTATTACTGGTGGTGGCGTATGCACTGGTAGCACCGTACAAACCTCTTAGAAACTGTATCGACATTGTTTGATTAAATATGAGGAACTTACCGAACTCTTCCCCCATTTTACCCCTCGTTCATATAAGATTAAGAAACTATTGTACTGGCGGTGATGCTTGGAGATTGACTAAATCTGTGGAATGGACTAATTGTGTGGAATTCTTTATTAGTTGATCATTGGACTAAGCATAATTTAATATGAATAGTAATAGAACTGGATATCCAAACCATGCGTGTTCCATCTTGACAGAAAAGTTGAATGTTCGGGTAAATCTGTGCATCCTTTTTTTCAAAAGCTTCTTACTCGCACCCGAGTAGATGGTGCTGAATTAATTCCATAGTTTCCGAATGGTGCTAATTGTAAAACATATTAATTCGATGCATGGGCAAGCAAATTTCTAAATATTGAATCTTGCGACTCGCGCCTGTCGAATAAAACTGGGTGTTGTAAAAACTTTTGCAATCTAACAAGTAAGAGAGCAAAGAACCTCTAAATTTCTTCAACAGGCTATCACGATTCTAGCGAAGGCAATAATTTGAAATTGTATTTTCTTAATTAACATGTCGTGGCCATGACAAGTGCATGTAAACTATTAACTAACGCTGACGTATCAATGGTTTACAACAACCTCTAGAATTAGCATTCTATTCATTCAGTTGGTTCCTTAATAGGTTTTTAATTGCCACAACCATGCTATTAACATACCTACGATACGTGTCTCAAGAGTCTAGTTACTAAAATTATGTATACGAGTTAGTTGATAGCCTATAATGTAATTGCAATATTACTCCCGAAGTAAATTAATTTTTTATACATGATCCAGACCTTTATTAAGAGTATGCTATTTTAATTGACTCACTAAAGCAATTTACGCAAACGTTTAAAGGTTATAAAATTTATTGAAATAATATCCTGTACGCAGAAATCCTCGTAAGATGAATCACTAAAGTGCTGACGCGAGTCCAAAGAATGCACTGAGGGAACGGTCCCTGGATTACAAAGAAATGTATCATACTCAGCCATTGCATCATTTCCGCGCAAATAACATGATCGCCGAACGCGATGACGGCATTAATAAGAATTATGTAATTTAATTCCGTTCACCAAATTGGTTTCTGTTGTATTAGTACGGGCTTACTTCATCCCGGATGACAGCTGAAACATTCGATATAACTCACTAACTCTTTTATAAAGTTTGTTAATATTAGGATTCTTGGAAGTACAAAATCTGTTCGAACTACGAGAGAATATTTTTCAGACGTTATTCGCACGATTTCTTGGTGGTTCTCCCGGCTAGGCGGGAGAATATGAGAACTGCCCGTAAAAATGTAAACTGATTTATCGCTGCGTCTAAACATGGTCCAGCATTCCCACACAAAGGCCCAATCAGAAGGCATATCGAACACAGCCCAGCATAACTAACAAACTTTTTGACGCGGAAAAAATGCTTTGCATACCGTTACCACTGCCGGGGAGCAGCATGGTGCTAGCACTGCTTCGTCCTGAAAAAGTTCTAGCAAAGCAAAGCGGCGTTCCATTACCCCGTCTGAGTATCCGTCCGAAGCCTTGGATTTTCGGGACTAACTATAGCCTATCCTTCTTGTATTTCCTTCAGTACGTGCTGAATGTGACGCCGGACTTGCCCAACACGTTCGAGGCGGAGGGCTGCGGCATCAACTACCTGAAGATCCCCATCGCCGACCACTGGAGTCAGAACCTCGCCGTGCACTTCCCGCAGGCCATACGCTTTATTGGTTAGTATGATCTTCGGAATTTTATAAAATGGCGTCTCTTGACCAAAAATGTTGGTTCCTTTAGGAGAGAATTGGACAATAGATAACATATTTTCAGTTTAGTGACATGACTTGATTAAGATTTGAACTGTTTTCAAGCTTATACAATAGAATGATATTTTGATTATATTCAATCATCGATATATCATTTTCTTCGTCCTAACTTAAACGTTACATTATAAAATGAATGAGGGCCACTTTAGTTTCTGTTACTCGCTAATAGTTAACCTGGTGCCAATAGGTGGAACGCCGAAGGGGTAGGAGAACTATCGCATTTTCTGTCTTGCTGCTGTGTATTTTGTGTTTCCCCTATACCACCAACTAGTTAGCATAATAGGTTTCATCTTTAGCACCGACGAGGACACCTCTCGCTCCCACCACTGCAACTCCTGTGTAGCCAGGATCTACAGCTTGACCGCCACAAAAACCCAACCAATGAAGGTCAAGTTTGTCCCGGGGGAAAGTTAAACTGTCATTGGACCCGCTACGAAATTAATCAGAAGAACAGATGAGTTCGAAATTGTATCGAAAATCATAAGTGTATTAATAATGACTTTGTCTTGCACAGAGGAGGCAATGTCAGCTCGCGTCGGCGTCCTAGTCCACTGCGTGGCGGGCGTGTCTCGCTCCGTTTCCGTAACGCTGGCGTACCTAATGCAGCGGCATCGTCTGAGCCTGCGCGACGCGTTTGAACTGGTGCGCGCACGCAAGACAGACATCGCGCCCAACTTCCACTTCATGCGGCAACTGCACTGCTTCGAGCGGGACCTCGGCCTCCACGAGCGCAGCGCCAGCCTGAGTAAGGTCTGCTACCTACCACCCGCACGGGGCAGCCTCTCTTGAGCGCTCATTCCGCACACTTATGATGGGAGTAACTAATAAGTGTTTGAAGAAAAACTTGTACCAAAACGCCTCATTATAGTTAGCGCTTTGTTTTGCACCAAGTACCTACAACCGCTAGTCAGGAAGTCAGGACAAAGTTCTTTTAAATAGCCATTCCTTTAAATTTAGATTTAATATCTAGATGGAAAAGAGAAAATAGACAGGCCGTATTTGGGGTACAGTCAGCGTCAAATAGTTATGTATCACGTACATAAAGTAGACAAAAAGTTGATAACACAACCTTATTTCAATTGTAACAAAGACGTGTTGCGAACTTTTTGGCTACTTTGGGCGTCACAAACTATTTGACGCTGACTGTACTATCGCCAACACTGTTAACTGCCCATTGAAAGTCATGTCATCTCGTTCTATCGCAAAGAATCGCTATTTGATTAGAGCGAGAGCAAAAACGGAAATGGATAGTTAACAGTGTGGGCGTGTGTACATGCAGAACTTATTAGTTATTCTTATGCTATTCTGCTTATTTTGTATTTGTGTTTAAAGTGTGCGTAAATGTTTAAACTGAATTAATTATTTGTTGTAAACTTGTAACATATTATTTGCTTTCTAACTTATTCTATCATAAAGAGAGGCTATCCCTACACGGCTTTTACATACATTTTACGCGTGTTCGAATCTTCGCGAGTGTTATAATTTTTTTTATTTATTATTAAAATAATGCCTTACTAAATGATGATTTTTCTAAATTAGCAAATCATGTAATTATGGTGTGTGATAGGCTGATAAAATTTTCGGGTTCAACTCCTGGCTCAAATAATTGTTTTTGGAATGTTTTGTAACTTTGAAATTTCGCCCTATTTACAAAAAGATACAGGATGAGCTGATCAATTCACTCGGAAGATTCGAGACCACACGCGTCCCTACGCTTTCTATACGTCTGTCTTCAGACGAATAGAAGCGATGTCTTGCGTGTACTAATGGTATTTTTGATCTTGAGCTAATCAATCCACTCGGAAGATTCGAGACCACACGCGTCCCTACGCTTTCTATACGTCTATCTTCAGACGAATAGAAGTTATGTTAAGCACGTACTATATGACTTTATTTGTTACTTAGGTGCTGGAGGAGCTGGGCGTTGCTGAGCTGCAGGCGGCGGAGTCGGGCGCGCCGGGCCCGGGCGCGGGCGCAGGGACGGCGGCGGGCGAGGCGGCGTGCGGGTGCGCGCGCGCGCCGGCCGGCGTGTCGCCCGACTCGGGCATCGAGTTCGACCGCTGGAGCGCCGCAAGGGACACGCCGCAATGACAGTTCTTCACGCCGCGAGAGCGCGCCGACGACTGAGCGGCGGCGACGCCCGCTGTGCGCCCGTCGCGATCTTAGCGCGTCAGCGGTGCGCTCCAGTAGCGGCGTAAGAGCGCTTGTAGACGTCCGTTTTTTTCACCGGATAACGGACCGTGTTTTTTGCCGGATTCGCGGTGGTGTATGAATTATAATGAATGTTTGTACATGCACCGGACAAATTGTTCGCCGGACCGATGTCCGGTGAAAAACGGACGTCTACAAGCGCTCTAAGGGGGGGCGGTGGGGGCGGTCCGCCCCGGGTGCCAAGCATCAGGGGGGGACACGAGTCACGCAGATTAGTACCTACTCACTACGAATCTGCGGTCTATGTCATATGAAACTTTCTTGAAACTGAAACTTTTTTGATAAGCGATTGTCTTCGAATCCCCAAAATCCTGGGGGGTACCAGGGGGTGCCTTAGGACTTATGACGGGGGGGAGGGGAGGGGGGGGGTGACCGCCCCGGGTGCCAACCCATGCTACGCCGCCACTGGTGCGCTCCAAACGCTCCGGATCCACTCTCCCGACGCTACGCTTTCGGTGCCACGGATTGTAACGCGCTCGGCGGGCGCGCTCCGATACCTATTTTTAAGTCAATTTTATAAGTTTGATATCGATAGATCGTAGTGGACCGTGGATGCGAGATATGAAAATGCATTCCCGACTGTATCTTCCGTTAAGTTATGCATTTTGTGTCCGTTCGAATTTATTTCAAGACTATTTTTATATGATGTATTTTTGTTGACGAGCGAATAATGATATTGTGTTGTCCGAATCTGTTTCCTCTGTGAGGACGAGGAGGCCGGCCCGGCCGAGTTTCATTGTGCCACATAATACGTTAAACTTAATCTGAGGCCTTTATTGTGGAACGACACTCAAAACTTGTGAGTATATGTAGATTCAAGCCTCTTGTTCGGTGCAATTTCAATGTTTAAACCGAACACAGGCTGGAATTCATCTTGAACGTTCTTTCATACTTGAGTGTCGTTTCATATACGGGCCTGAGTGTTTATAGGCATTTTTAGTAAAATATATGAGTTAATTGTTAAGCGCTAAATGATCGATGTAACATTTATGTATGTTTTACATTATTTCTCTAGTAACACAGGGCTTCTGACGATTCTTCCATTGTTGTTGATTATAAAAATGTATGTGAGTGCGAGATTGAGCGAATGAGTATGATAATGATAAGTATAGGTAAACGTATTTCTTCATATACACTAGTATCGACACGACCACTGCTGCCGCCGCGCGCCAGGCGACACAAATATTTTATTTTCAAAGTTATCGTATTGTCATAAGAAAATATTGTATAAACACTAGGAAATGTTAACTACAAAACTTATTTTTCTAATATTCTTCTGCAATCTTTGTTGTTTCATCAAAGACATATTATAACATAATAGTCAACTGTAAGTACCTTTGTAAAATTTGATTTTAAATGAAATGAAAGTTATTTGTATAAGAAATTCAAGATGAAAATGAGTATTTTTGTATGTAAGTATAAATGCAACTAGCGTACCTCTAATAATACAAAAGTGTCATCCGATAAACTTATTTACAAAAGCCCTCTGCGGGTAGTCATGCGATAAGTGATATTTTATTTAGCATTTTGTGATATTTCTATTGGCATTTATGATTTAAATGGCTTCCAAAACTATAATAGTATATATTAGTATACATTTCACAGTGTGTAAATGAAAATATATACGTCATATAAATGATACAAAAAACTATTTTAATTCTGATCACAATATTTTTGTCTTTTATTTTTATGTGTATAATATTTTCATTTACACAAGACAAAAATATATTGTTCCATCAACTTTGTGTGTACATAATGGCGAGCTTTAAAATATGTTAATTATGGAAGTAGTAATTGTTGCGTACTGTACATTTGTTATAGATTTAGGTATGTATGGTATCCAAAAATAATTTGTGTAAGAAAGTTGAGATTCATATTTTGACAATCGTTCTTTATATTTTAAGAATGAATATGGAATATGGTTAGTTTCTTGTATTATTCAATGTTTTTATTTCCTGTATTTCAATGTTCAGTGAGTGTATGGTTAAAATTAATGTTTTTATAAACTTAGTACAGCACTTGTTGGACAATTCATGAACATCTTCCATAACACGTTCACTTATCTAATGTTAATCAAGGTATCTCGAATATGTTCATTAATTAGGTAGTCACTCCAAATTACGTAAACGAGAAGTACATCTTGGTTGCACTTTAAAGTTTTATATTTATAGGCATAATGTAATATTATATTAATTGTAGTGCACAAATCCACTAATTCCCGACCGCGAGCCGCCGGCAGCGGCGCGCCGCGTCACTAATGTATTGTATTGTGTACATATTGTAACGGTTCTGGTTAATTGTAATGTAAAATACATGTTAACTGAAGATGTTGATAATGTTTTAGAAATCTTTTTAGTGCTTTTTCCTAAAGGTACCTAAAGCCACAAGGCACACGTAAATATTAACCTCAGAACAAATATAAACACTGTTAATTGAAAATTTAGTTTTCTTTCTTACCTATTCTTTACCTTTTTGCATACAATTATACAAAAATTGAGGAATTGAATTAAAAAGACACATTCGTAATGTTACTTTATTTATTTGCTCGAAAGATGAAGTACATTAATTAATGTTAATGATGATAAAATGAATCTGTGTATGTATGTAGGCTATTTCAATTACATTTCTAAAGATTACAATTTAAACTATATAACTAATTGTTCATTGAATTGTGATTATATACAATCTTAGCATAAAATAATTAATACTCCATTCTACAAATAAATCTCAATCTTTCGCTAATTGACTATCGTTGGGTCAATACTGAGAACATTAAATCATTCTCAGGAACTAAACTAAGCTACCTGAATAGGCCTCTTTACTCGTCATGATATATTCTTTAAATAAACATGTACATATACAAACAGGTGTACAAAACCGTAACATAATTATATGGATTTTACTACCTACATTATATACAATAATTGGTGCCATAGGTTGCAAATTAACTAAAACGAAACGGCCGATAGCCTGACCACCGGGTCGTGACCAGGCGACACATTCGTTCAGCTGCCAATTCATAAGAGATGATCTTCATACTTTGCCACAATGTATACGATTTTGGCACAAATATGTGCTTACATTTATGTAAAAAAAACTTACGTATTTATATACAACAAAGGCGTCACAATGAGTTATTGCTTTCTGTTGGTTCAAAATACAAACATTTAACATCAACATCGTGTTTTACACATAGACTTTACACTGGATGACTCGGAAGAGGATTAGGAATGCTTATAAAATGTAGAAATCGATATAGAATATTCTTTGGAATGTAACGAAGCTTCAGATATAAATATAAATTATGAATGATACGAGCAGCACAGTTTAGGAAACATCAAGGATATGTGAAATTATTCACTAAACATACAAAAGGCACCCACCAGCATGGCCTTCAATATTGGTCCATCGACAATAAATTATATTATTATTAAACATAATAATATCAGTAGGTATTTTAGTCATAATAATGTCATGGCACGTGTGTAAAAGTTTAATAAATCGATCTCGACGTGCCATTGCAACATTAAATATTATAAAACATGACAATCATTGTAAATATTATCTCTTGGGTATAACCAAATAATGGTCTGTAGATATAATCGAATCACAATAAAAGTTGCTCTAGCTGCTAAGGCGACATGATATAAAGGATGATGGGCACTTTTCTATGGAATCTGGGCGTAAAACCAACAGAAATGTAACTAGTATTATTTGTTAGGACTTAATATCAGAAATATATTTTCATATAAATAACTACCAAAAACTCCCGGGTTTGCTTGGAAATTGACATAATGTGTAATAGTAATAGGTGCTTTATTGCGCAAACAAAAAATATTATTAATTAATATACTTATCTACTTACATTTTAAATATATTAAGTTATTTAACCATTATTATGTCCAACAGTTCAGGAGTGGGGCCAAAAAATTGTATATTTAAACCGTGTTCTACATTATAAACGTAGGATCATACCCAGGTAGGTACCATTTAGAGAAATGACATGAACAGTCATGTTTCAATGGGATTTCTACCAGTTAAGTTGTAGAGTTGTCGCATAATCGATCACCGATCGATTATTAATCGATATTGCCAAATAACGATTTATCGATTAACAATTCGATTAATCGATTTTATTGATTAGTACCATCATTACTCATTTGATTGTTAATTCAATTCCTTATTTTCAGCAATATAATCGATTATTGCAATCGAATAATCGATTATGATTTATTCGGTATACATACTTACTAAATCGATAGTAAGATATGATACAATACTCTCAATATGATCGATAAAAGCAATCTAATTGACCTAATACTATTTTTATTACCCTAATGTAATGTGAAATATTATGGAAACTTTGCATATTCAACGACCTCTATCTCCGTATCCCCGCGTATTTCAGGATTGTTGTCATACTATGAAATGAAGTACTAGTATTAAGCTTTAATTTAGTATACTTTTTGTTTCTGTTGGTTTAACGCCCAATATGCCCATCATCCTTTATCTCCAAATTCATAAAAATATTATCGTTCGAATCAAAGACGCTTAAAAATATACATTTAAAATTGGTACTATGTTCGGTCGAAGGCAATCTTTTGGTCTCGGTACATACATTGATTCATAAAGCTCGATCCCTTTCGTTCGGGGTTCAAACGCAACCGTGATCTCTCGCGTCAGACGCGAGGCTCGCTGACGATAACAGCGAGACAAATGTTTCCTATATTTTTCGTAATTAATTTAATACTGTGATAATGTCGGGAGACTTCGTCGTCATCTACAATATTAATATCTTACGATTTCTATAATATTTTGAGTGATAATTTTACCATCATTAGTGATGTAGCGATTCGAGTTAAAATATGTCATACGTTGATCAGTGGACCGCATCGATGTCCCGCTGTGCGCGGGAAATCTTCACCTGGAACGAATAGACGTGAGTGATGAAACTGTAGTGGTAAGTTTCTTTACTTTAAAGTAATTAAAAAGTTAAGTTAATAATAATAATAATAAGCACATCGTGTTTTCCTTACAGTTCTGATAGGAATCGCAATGCGTGAAACGTTTGCAGAGTATTTACACCTCAGATCATAGAAAGAGAATAGATATGAAGTCGCGCGTAACTACAACGAGAACCAGTGTCCCCACATTTCCCCCACCACAGCTCCCACACACACATTCAACTGTGTAAAAACAAAGCGACTGAGAGTCTACGACAACATGTGCAACCGGCTTAAAAGTGCTGTGATTGGCCAGAAGGCGTGCCTTATGGCCAATCAATGGCCGCGTGACGTGACGCACACATAGAAAACGCTAGTGAGAGAACAAAGATAAAATGGAGTCGACAAGATATCGATACTTTAAATCGCTAGGGGCAAGGCTCGAAACTGGTTTCACAAAATGCTTATGTATGAAAACCTTTTTATTATTATACGTTATTATTAACTAATATCACGCATTTATTTTTTAATTATGGCGATCTGCGTACCGCATATTATGTTTATCAAAAATAATGCCTATATTAGGCTTTCAACTAGCTCTTATAGTAATTACATAGTTGACAGTTACTAATTACTTCTACTGTTATTATTTTTTTTGTAAAATCTTATAATCGCAAGTAACACATCATTTTTTTATTTAAAATTACAAAATAGAAAATTATAATTTACTTCTATTTATCGATAATAGGAAACCGCATTAGAACACGAGCACGGCACTATGTTACGACCGGCACATGCGGCCGTACTGTGTATTTTCACACGACAGTGGATATCGGAAGAAATTAAATACATTGCGCAGTAGTTGAGCATGACATAAAGTGGTTGCTAACTAAATCGTCAATGTACAAGCGTGTTAGAATTTTTATCACCACTGATATCGATATCGCAGTAACTGTTACGGCACTGAATTCGTTCGTGAAAATGTTTAGTTTTTTTTATTTATAAGCAAAATACCAATGGATTTGCAATACTTACATGTAGTAAATGACTCCATTGTTCCTGTAGTTCTTCGTTTCACTTGTTTTATTGCACGTAACGACGCATTATCCAAAATATCGGAGAACATTTCCTTAGTACGACTGAATCGCGACTAACCTAGCTACGCGGCCGATGTTCGTTTCTGGGCATATCGCGGAGACACGCGCCACGCCCCCGTTTCACATCTATTCCCTTCTATGATCTGAGATTTACACTAACTTCGGGTTTCTTGGTCCCGGAATATTCTCTTCCAGACTGTCACAAATCGGGATAATTTGATATCGATTTTAACTAATCAACACAGTTATTGAAAATAAAATAATGTCCAATACAAAATGCGAATATACCCCTGTACTCTAACTATGAAGGGGGTAGATAAAACATTATAGGTGCCATTGACCACTGGGGTGGTAAACGCCATCAATTAGTGTCAACCACCACCCCGGTGGCAAGCTCGAAGGGGGCAGATAAAACTGAATAGGTGCCATTTACCACCGGGGTGGCAAACGCCATCAATTAGTGCCAATCACCACCCCGGTGGCAAGCCCGAAGGGGGTAGATGGGAATAAAGGGTATTTTTTTAGAATACTCTTAAGTTATAGATCGTTTCATTCACGAAGACGTGCCCATCTTTTGCTAATGTTTGAGTGTTATCGGTACACGCTAAATTATTACCCATGAGACTCATGGCATGAGTGCACACACACTACAATAATGACGCTCGGATCAAATTCCCCGCGCTTCCCTCGACCAAAAATTGCTGGGGCGCGTTTTCGTGGACGAAACCATCTATACCCAGACAAAGTTCCGAATTAAGAGCCAGTGTAGGAGGTCGCATACATAGTACGCAGAAATGACAGCCGATGGGGCAGCAAGGTTCTGGAATGGAGGCCGCGTACCGGAAATCGCAGCATATGACGTCCACCCACAAGGTGGACCGATGACATCATAAAGGTAGCAGGGAAGCGCTGGACGCAGGCCGCTACCAATCGATCAACATGGAAATCATTGGGGGAAGTCTACGTTCAGCAGGGGACGTCCTATGGCTGAAATGATGATGATGATGATAGGAGGTCGGAGGGGCTTACCTTGTCCTTGGGCGTGGAGTGCTCGCCGGACTCGAGCGCGAACATCTTCATCTTCTCCTTGAAGGACAGCTGCTCCGGCACCGGCGCCGCGGGCGCGCGCGCCTGCTGCTCGGCCAGCCGCCGCGCGCGCGGATCTCTGTGATACAACGCGATACTGAGTATTGGAGTTGTAAAAGAATTTTGACACTATGCTTGTTTGACGTATCATTTTACTTTGAACATTTAAAAAAAAAATATTAGCAATTTGTATTGCCCAAATTACTAATAGTCCCGTTTAGCGCGTTCCTCGGATCTCGAGTCGGCCACTCTCGATCATATTATCTTTTATTTATTCTTATTTATAAAAGCGAAAGGTCACTGACTGATTGACTCATCACGAAATTTCAGAAACTATAAGTGCCTTAGAACACTGATGCTCACTAAGAACGGATTTTACGAAACTCGGGGTAAAACGGGATCCACGCGTACGAAGTCGCGGGCGGCCGTTAGTTTATGATATAAATAAGAGGTTCTGTAAATAAAGTCCACTTTTCACATTAATTTAAAGATTTGAATGACAAAAAACTACCTATCTAAAAAAATCTCCATAAAGCTTCGTAATAAGTTGTAGTAGTGCAACAAAACAACCTTTTCGGACTCTAATTCGAATGCATGGTAGTTAAGATTCAGCCTCACACGCGATCAGCCGGCGGGCAGCGATTGCGATCAGACTAAAGGTTTAATCAGGACCAATGCATTTAAGTCTGATCTCCATCCGGCTGATCGCGTTGGTTTGGCCGAACCTTTAAATCATTTGCATGCAAAATCATCATGCATTGATCGCCATCGCTGCACGCCGGCTGATCGTGTGTAATCGCGTTGGTTTGACTGAACCTTTGCGGTTACGCATTACCAGCTCGGTGAAGGTCGTTCTATAGTGGAGTCCTATACGATTTGATTTCTCTAGATAGTTTCTAAATTGGTATTCGGATCAGATGTAATGCGAATCTGCTCTAAAGGCTTACACAGACCAAACGCGGGTCAGAAGCAGTGCGGGTCAGTTGCAGCGCGGCTGCGGCACACTGAAGACAGCGCAGTTTCAAAGCAGTTACAACGCGGGCGGTTGTCAAGAATTTCAATATTCGAAAACCGTGAAACGCTCTGCTACCGCCCTGCGTCCGGTGTGTCATGCTAATATGGCCGCCATAGTAATACAACAGCGCGGGCCCGCGTTGGCGCCGCTTCTTTCCCGCACCCGCGCCGCCTCGTTTGCTGTTTGGCAGTTGCAGTGCGGCGCGGTTGGAGCGCGGGCCCGCGTTCAAATGGCAATGCCAGATTTTGTATGGAAGGTGGCGTCTTTTTTTTTTTCTTGCGCTGATACTGCTCCACACTGATGTCTGGAGCCTTTAATGGATGGTATTGTTTGTTTACACATACAATGTCACTATTTTGTTGCAATTTCTTACAAAATTGCGCGCAAAAAGCAAATCTAGTACGTAAAATCATCAAACTTCTAATGCTCGTAACTTAGTTCAGACTGAGTTTAGGAGGTATATAGGTACATGTCATAGTAAGTTTGGTTTATTACACTATTTTGTAATCAAAAAACAAGGTTTGGTCGATGGCCGCGCGAAAAAAAAAGACGCCAATTTCCGGCATTGTCTTTTGGTGTGACACGCTTCAAATAGTTTCTTGTATTATGACTTGCGCGGGCCCGCATTCAAACTGCGCTGCTACTGCCCCGCGTTTGGTCTGTGGAAGCCTTAAAAGTATAAGCGATCAAGCCTCACCTGTAGACCTCCTGCGCGCCGATGACGCCGGGCGTGTGGGCGGCGGGCGCGGGCGCGGCGGGCGACACGCCGCCTGCCAGCATGCTCTCCGCCTCCTCGATGAAACGCTGTGGAATGTGGATACGTGTTTTGTTTATTAATTTGAACCACAAACAGATTCACAATGTATTCTTACAAGCTAGTTTGATAGGTAGTGCTTATTATGAATCCGAAATCGCTAGTCACAATAGACATGTTGACACCACCAATCAATTAACGTACTTTTTAAAACTGTCAAAACGAAACTCTCCCATAGATTTTGTATGGCACCACAAGCAAGTGACGTCACTATTTTGTCAACTCAATCAAACTACTTTTTGTAATTTACAGGTAATTTAAAATTAATTAAGTTTTTAAGACCAGAATTAAGGGTCTTTTTAAAAAAGTTGTGGTTTCGAATTATTGGGGTATGGTGTCAAACTGTCTATTTTAAATTACATGTTTAACGGGGTGGAGCCTGTGTAGGTATCCAACGCATACTATAGTACTACTCGTACTAATACCATTATACAATGCAAAAGTTAGTGATGATGTCACTGTAATAGATGAGCAGCAACTACACACTATATTGATTTTGAGAAACTTGCATGAATAGACTTGTAACAATTAATATTATTGTACAAGTTGCGCAGCGAGATTTGAGGCTAAGGATTTGATCAACAAGTCATCATCATGTCAATATTTTTCTGCGCAATGTATCTGTATGTATACGCTCGTGACTAGTAGTAAAGCAATTACTGTGTCACTTACATTCGTTTTATTTACAAAGAGCAAAGTGGCTGTTTAATGTGTAGATATTACCAGGCCTGTTCATTTCCGCGAGTTTACATCGAAAACAAAACACGCACGATAGCCCACCTACAGGATACTATTCGACAAGGCCTCACACACGAGCGAACATTGACTCACGCACGCGTGTTCTTGTGTATGATGGAAGAAAATAAAGAAAATGGTGTACTAAATACTCTGCAGTATTTAACAGCCTAAATAATAATAAAAACACAGAATGTAATTTTTTAAGTTGCCTCAAGATACTGAGAGGTAAATATGTATAGTCTTTTTCACGTAAGATGATCCGTATGACGTTTCGAGTTTGAAAGTTATAGAGATGTCACATAACTAAACCATAGCGATTTATCTATCGATTTTTTTCTAAGAGTTAGTAAAACCTACTTTTAGAGAAATATTTTGTAATAGGTGGTATTTAACAAAAAACATGTTTTTTTAATTACAAATATTATTGTAACAATTTTTATTGATAATATTCAAATTCCATGGACTTCGTGTTCAAAAAAACAATTCCTAAAAAGTACTGATTCTATTTCTTTAAATTAAAAACTTTTAATTTATTTTCTATGCGTTTATTAAAGTCAACAAACGAAAAATATAGTTCATTTTTGTGATTTTTTAATAACTAAGTATTCACTGCAATCGATTAATGAACCGCGGAAATAATCGATTTTGTTATACAACAAATACCCCAGCACTAAATCTATTCCGAATGTTCGAAAAATTTTATAAAATCTTTAAGTGCAGTTCTCTTTCTTTTCAAAAATAAAGGAATGTTTTTTTCGAGTAAAATTTTCTATCTACAGTATTAAAAGTACTTTCCCTCCAGGTGGCATAACAAAATCCCACCCCGTATAATATCATTACTTACGTCGGGATCCTCCCTAATCTGTGAATGCGGCGTTTGCGGCGGGTCGAGCGGCGGCGGCGAGGTGGAGGGCGGCGCGGGCGCGGGCGGCGGGGACGCGGGCGCGGGCCGCTCGTGGAACGACACGCGCTTGTCGCGGCCCGCGCTCACTGGCGACCTACGGAAACAAAATTCAATTACGTATTTAGAAATCACTCACATTGTTTAGGAGGTAGACTGCGTTTTATTTATTCAAAAAAAAATCAAAATCAAAAGTATTTATTCAGTTTAGACCACAAGTGGCACTTATGAACGTCAAAATTATCATAAAAAATAATAAAAAAGAAAAGTTAACCCTTATGGGGCACTTTACATGTCTCCTTATCTTTTGGGCCCTACCAGCGCTTCGAGACAAACATATGGCAAGTGCTGAGAAGAAACGACGGAACAAACTCAGTCACCACTAATTGCCGGGAAATATCTAACGCTAAGAATAACCAAATTCGAGTACATCAAATATGTGCAGACTGAACTGACCACGCATCCTTGTCATCAATATAGTCTCGAACCTTGTAGTACCCTTTGGACATAAGGGTATTTTTTATATGTATCTTAAATTTGTTTATTGGTAATTCGACAAGGTTGTGTGGTATTTTGTTAAATATGGTAATACATTTCCCCAAGAATGAATTACCAATTTTATTACAATGTTATGTGCAAAGCACACTCCGCGCTATTTTGCTTTTTACATAATATTATTAAGTATCATGATTAGATCAATTAGTGTCCACTGAAGAAAGATAATATTTTTTATTCAACCAGTGGTAAATGAAGGACCTAACGCCTTAACGCTAAACGACATGAGTTTTATTTTCAAAAACTAAAAAATTGGTGGGAAACTTGATTCCATTAGGCCCAGAACAGACGGTGAAACGCAACTGCAACGAAACTGCAACTTTCTGATGATTCTTATGAATGAAACTGAAAGTTTCAAACTGGTCGCGTCATGTGTGGTCTCTCAACGGACGCTATGGCAGAAACTAAGATGTAACTGAAACCTTAGAGTTAAATTGAAAAGTTGTTAAATGAATTTATTTGGAAAAAAAAGCTATAAAGATAGAAATAAGAATTGAATACCAATAAAAAAAACTATCAGCCTTACTTATAAAAATCAACTAATCAACGTCTAAGCAACTAATTAACTAATGACTCGTTAACTTCTTAATCAGTAATTAAATATTTCTCACTTATAAACACTGCTTAAGCGTCACTTAACTAATCAACTGTTAATTAGAGATTTTCTTTTTTAAATCCACCTGAACCGAACTTCAGACCAGTTCTAATGCCAAAATGCCGAAAGCCAATGCTAAAATTAAGAATAATAAACGTCAAAGTTATGTCAAATGAAACGCTGTCTGTCAGTCAACTGTCAAGTCTACAACAACAAACAAAAGTACTGTAGCGACTATGTCCCACATACGCCATATTAAAATTATGTACCAATTATAATAATATACACTAGATAATTGTAATACTTCTTGTACAAACTTAAGATGTAAATGCTTTGTTAGTTTTTAGCGCAATTTTAAGGCATGGTAATTTTAGTTTCTCACGCACATGCACCCTTAGGAAGCCTTTAGGATTTTATTGTCGGAATGTTTAACTCAAGTCTTTTTAGTGTTTCGGGTTTCGCCGACGTAACATGTTGTGTATTATTAGTCCATTGAATTATTTTAACTGTGTAGGTATTAAGAAACACCAACCGTTGTAATGTCTATCTATTGTTTTCACTTTGTATTATGTTTGCGCCAACCTTTGCCATGTGTTTCATGCTATTTTTTGTGTGTATCTTCGCGCAGCGCAGCAACACAGCGCGTTGCATGGCACGTCACGCATCAGCTGTTAACTTTTTGATCCGCCATTTTGGTAATTAGGGCTTTAAACAAGGGTCCGACGCTGTTTAACTTGACAGTTATTTAAGCAGTCACTAAGACGTTGGTTAACACTAATTATCGTTTTTAAGTTAAGATATTATTTAATAGACCGTTAAACTGTGTCTTAATTTTAATAAACGTTTATAAGTAAGGCTGTATATGTTTAATTTTATAAAAATAATCTAAAGCCCGATCCGTGAGCACGAAGAATTTTGTCCAATGACCCCTAGCTACCCATCCTTATCGCTCGCGCGTAATTATGTTGCTATCGCGCTCGCACACTCACTGCGGGTGCCAGTCGCACAGTCGCGACAGCAATATAATTACGCGCGAGCGATAAGGATGGGTAGCTAGGGGTCATTGGACAAAATTCTTCGTGCTCACGGACCAGACTATACAAGATTCATTTGAAAAGAAAAAACTGAAATGGAACAAAACGATTGACAAAAATAACATGTTAAAATTGAATTAAAAACTATACTGACTGTGGCTGCGGCGGCAGCGGGTCGGCATGCTGCCTGGTGCGGCCCGCCATGACGGCGAAGGACGAGCCGCGGGCCGGCGGCGCGGGCGGCGCGGCGCCCGGCGACTGCGGGCCGGCGGCGGCCGCGGCGGGCACGATGTGAAGCGCCGACATACTCGCAGACATCTCGGTAGCGCGACGCTCTTCTGATGACGGCTGCGGCGGTTGGACATGCTGTAGTGATACAATCAATGTAAATACTTTTTACTTTAAGGTCTATGAAATAAAGGACTTCTTGACATTCAAATATGTATAAATGTAATTTTTGACATAGCTGACATAATTAATTTATTGGACATTTTATTATTGTAAAACTGTACTGTACTGTTGAAAATTGATATAATTATAATGACATTGTTTCTTTTTTATGTATTAATATTCAAACTTGCATGCTTCTTGATGTAGCAAAACATGTGGACTTATTTTATAGCTGTAACAACTGTATACCATGTTTTATGCAAATAAACAATTATTCTATTCTATTCTATGGTTCTGAACTGACTTTGATGTGTATCAAACTAAAGTCATGGTGAAAAAGAGTATACATTATATCAATGAGGGTTTTCGCGATTGAAAAATCCGCCAGATGGCGGGACGTGGATGTAGGGTCTGACTGCTGCGCGATTGGTGGATTTTGACATATCTGTCAATGTCATGTCAAAAATAACCAATCATGCAGCATTTGGACCTCGCTTCTACGTATTGCCATCTGGCGGATTTTTCAATCGCGAAAACCCTCATTAAAACATTTTCATATAAGTTTTCATAAAAGGATGAGTTTACAGTTGACAATACACTGATAGGTGTAGATATACAGTAATGCAAGATTTCTCTGGAAATATCTAGAGTAGATGTCGTGCCTTGGAAAGCTTAGGTTTGTGTATGGAAACACAGGACAAGGATTTACAAATAAAATATTATAGTGCAAAGGTTTAAAAAATACCCACTTATATGCGTAAAACTAGATCTAATTTTTGCTGTAGACAATAACAGAAATGGTCCTCAGGTCAAGGGAAAAAAAGTTGCCACTTAAGGAACTGCGCAATCTCCACATCATGCGAAATGTGGCACAGAACACACCGAAGTTTTTATTTTCCAAGCCATAGAGACCAAGACTATCATTGGGTCGCTGTGCCATCTTAGTAATTTTTAAAGAAAGTTACTTACCGCTTCCGTGGCATATCCATTTGACATATCAGTACGATTGGTCTTGAGTATTGATTTAGGCGGATGAGGGTGAACTCTCGGCTCGGGCGATGCCGCCTGAGGGGGCGCCGGCGACGGCTGGTGATGTTGGGGGGGCTGATGATGTTGTGGAGGTGGCTGATGATGTGGCTGGGGTGGCTGATGATGCTGTGGAGGGGGCTGGTGATGCTGTGAAGGGGGCTGATGGTGCTGATGCATTTGTTGAGGTGGCTGATGTAGTTGGTGGGACTGGGGCGGCTGGTGATGTAAAGGCGGAGAGAATGGCGGTTGAGGCCGGGCGGTAGGCTCAGGTGAGTCGCGGTCGTCGTCGGCGACGCCTTCTGTGTTGGCGTCCTCCTGTTATGTAAAAAAACGGAATTTATAGCTCGGGATTTAGATAGATAGACGTGTGTGCCTTAATTTGAAACTTTAAAAGACTATTGAATAATATGCTATATTATGGAAAATTGTTAAAACTTTACAAAGTTACTTTAACTTTTACAACGATCCGATAATTTGAAATAATTTGCTACAGTCCAGTTATGTGTGCATGGTTATCCAATAAATTCTAAACTATCGCTTACCTGGTCCTGCTGCGTGGCGCGGCGCTCGAAGTCTCGCTCGAGCTGCAACGCGCGAAGTTGTTGGTTCTGTACACTCGTGCGCGCCGCACCCAGAGACAGTAGCTGCGCGATTGTTGCGTCCCTGCGGATATACAGATTGTTTTATTTACATACTTTATAATGATAATATATGAGTGCACCTGCAATAAGATTAAAGTTAGGGATTTCGCCACTTAGTTATATCAGGCATACGGAAACTGCTCAAGTTAGATGGCGTTGTACGCTGTTGATTCGCGGTGGTAGTTATTGTTGACATAAAAACAAATGGTAGGCATAGCAATTTGTGTTTTACTATATAAAAAAAAGTAATTAGTAATTGTGCATAAAGGTTGTACAATAATGAAGATATTATTTTGATTTTGGCAGTTTGCTGCCAATTTGAGATTCGAGAAAGTTATTTCAATAAGCTACTTGACTTATTTATTCCTTACACAAGAATATTATTTAACTTGGCTTTCGTGACATTTTAAAGAGAACTGCGCGTCTTCTGGCAAGTTTGTATCAAGGCTCTCCATCTTGCTAGAGGGCGAGTGAGTAATTAGTTTTTGACCAATTGGACCGTAAATGACGGTCAGTCATATTAAAACACTTTAGTAATTTTCAACACTAGGCGACCGACGTCCGTTCGTTATTGCGGCACATTGCACACACCCCCGACTTTTGGATCTCGAGCGCTTCCCGAGATTTGACGTTCGTAGGAAAGCTCGGTTTCGTCTGTTTATATGAAGTTAAAATACTGTATGATAGTATTACCGTGGCTCCATCTTGCTATAGGGCGAATGATTGAAGTGGTTATTATCAGGGATGTTATGGATACGTAGTTTCGGTTATGGATACGGTTACGGATATAGGAATAATATTATACCGGTTTCGGATATTTTTTTATTTCAGATATCCGAAAGTTTCGGTTACGGTTACGGATGTCTGTGCTTTAGAATGCAATTTGCAATAGTTGTCTCACACGGTTCATTCATGGCCGCACACTTTACATCGAATAAAAAGTAATAAAAAAGAATTGATACTAGATGGCATTATAAAGGTAAATCAGGCTGTTATGCCTTTACTTAAAATTCTATACAAAAAACAATTTAAACTGCCTACATTCGAAACTATCCGAAACTTTTGTCTCCGAATCGATTACGGTTACGGTTTCGGATATTTTTTATTTCGGATATCCGAAAGTTTCGGTTACGGTTTATTATTATTGGTTTTTGGGCCTTTATTTGCGCCAACTCGACCAGGTTTGATCTATTGTGGCAGCCCTTGTCTTTAGAGTTCACTGCTTAGTCCCGTTGAGTCTATAAATTTTCAGATTCTTTGGAGAGTGATATCTGCTATCTCATCCGGGTGCATGATGTGTCGCCCGAGATGGATACTTCTTTTGCTCATAAGCGGGAAGCATGAGCAAAGAACATGCATGGCCGTTTCTTCTTCTGTATGGCAGAATCGGTTACGGTTACGGATATCCATAACATCCCTGGTTATTATTATGAAGCTCACCTCCTCGCCCTGTTGGCGGCGCGGCGCGCCTCGGCCTGGCGCTCGCGCTCCTCGCGCTGCCACGGGTTGTGCGCGGGCTGAGCGCGCGCGCCGCCGCCGCCGCCCGCCGGGTACACCGACACCGCCGGCGGCTCCAGCGCGCTCGCCACGTAGCGCTCTACACGACAAATCAAATATCACGAATTATTTTCAAGTCATTTAGGGATCTTTCAAATAAAACGTTTTGAGCCCGACTTTAGTCGACTGCACACCGAAAATTCGTTGCTAAAGCCGTAGAATTTTGTCCAATGAGCTACCCATCCTTATCGCTCGCGCGTAATTGCCGAAAACGAGCGCCCGCAGTGAATGTGCGAGCGCGACAGCAACATAATGAGGGCTATCGTTTTTATACTTAACAGTTGGCACCACTGGCGATTGACAGGACCTTACTCTACAGTGGCGCCATCTTGATGAGTGCAAATGCGATAGTCCTCCTACCACTTTAGCGCTCACAAGTTGGCGCCACTGTCTTCGCTACTAGCAAGTGACAGGACCTTACTCTACAGTGGCGCCAACTGGTGAGCGCTAAAACGATAGCCCTCATTACGCGCGAGCGATAAGGATGGGTAGCTTGGGGTCATTGGACTAAATTCTATGTGCTCGCAGACCAGACTATAGAAATGACAATAATTTACTGACGGCTAGGGTCTTTGGTACGGGGTCTTTCAAACGAAGGACTGACGTTTTCATCTTATTTGAAAAAGACCTTGGTTAGTCTCTACTGCAGGAACATGACCCTGTCCAATTTACCGGAAACAATTATTGTAGCATTTGACATCGAGAAAGCCCGATGTTTCATATTTCTCCCATATACGCCTTTTACAACACCCACAAGAAGACGAAGTTCATTCTGTATCTCATCATTCCGTTCAATCATTAAATATTTAGAGCATTTTTCCCGAGTTTAAGTTAACAAAATATTTACAAATGATATCGTGCTCATGAACTAAAATAATAAATAAACTGTACAAAAAAATCTCTTACCATCTTCTGGTTGGACAGTGCCGGTAGTTTGATTCTGCTGCATTTGTTGAAATTGTTCATCCAAATCGTTGTCTGATCTTCGAACGTTCTGCTAAAGAAAATAACAAGTTTTTAAATATGAACTTTTATGTTACTTTGAAATAAAATAACCAGTTCCACTTACTTGCGGTTTAGGAGCGACAGGCGGTTGCGACCTTTGCGGCGATGGAGGACCAGGCGGGTGCCAGTCGTATCTATCAAATCAGATCAGAAATATGAAAATTAATATAACATTCATTCGGTTCTTGGAAGACATTACTTCGACTTTTGTCACACAGTTGATCATCTTTTTCCACTTTCCGGTTCTACATAAAATATCAAATGTTCCAAATCCGATATTGATGTAGATTGCTACCACATTGACGCAATGTAATATTGCCGTAAAATTAAATGTTAATGTGGTGAAAATGGCGTATTACCTCGAAGGCTTGGCGTTCTGGTGTGGGTGCGGCGGCGGCGACTGCGGCTGCTGCGGCGCGCCTTGTAAGAGCTGCTGCTGGCTGCCCATCTGCTGGAAACAAACAATGTTATATGTGACGTCACTCATGTAAATGACAATCTTACTGCTAGTGATATTGGTTTTGACATTATGTCTATAGTCCGGTCGCCGAGTACGTAGAATTTTGTCCAATGACCCCAAGCGTTCGCACACTCACTGCTGCCGCCCGTCGCACAGTCGCGACAGCAATATAATTACGCGCGAGCGATAAGGATAGGTAGCTTGGAGTCATTGGACGAAATTCTTCGTGCTCGGCGACCAGACTTTAGTACCAAGCGTGCAAATCACTCGTTGACCGATGCTGATACGTCAAGGGGGAAAGTCGGAACTAATAACCCAGTATTGATAGTAGCGCCCTCCTCTCAATGTCATAGCTGGGACGGTTCAGTGTTGGACAACTATAAATACGACAGCATATTGTTACAGATAGCACTAGCTTTCGACACAATGATCTATTTTTATAATATTTGTGAAAATATTAAGACTTTTAAGCAATCAGAGCGAAGGTTAAGGCGCTTAAAGAACAGTAAGGTTGCGTTTCCACCAGAGATGTGCGAGGATGCGTAGCGAGGGATGTGTTTGAAAAGAACCAATAGTATCGCTTCATTTACCGAGGAGAAGCAGCCTAATGCCCTTTTTCACCATCAAACCCTAATTTTTAAGTGACCCCTATGGTAACACATAACAGGCATTTTGTTTTTATAGGGTCACTTAAAAATTAGGGATTGATGATGAAAACGGGCATAAAAATAAGAGCATATTTTTTTACATAAGTAAAAACGACGTAGACCGACGATCTGGTAAAGGTCGCGGGAAGAGCCTGGATGCGGGCAGCGCAGGACCGTTCATTGTGGAAAACCTTGGGGGAGGCCTTTGTCCAGCAGTGGACGTCATTTGGCTGAAAAAAGAAAAGTAAAAACATCTACCTGTTGATGGTTATGCTGGTTCATAGGATGTTGGTGACCAGGGTGCTGATTCTGGCCAAGATGCTGGTTCTGGGCGAGGTGTTGATGTGGGGCGGGCGAGTGCTGCAGCTGGCCAGGCTTGAGCGGCAACTGCGCCTGCATCCGCCTAGAAACTTCTTCCGACATCTCTGCTAGCTTCGCCGCGCGTACTGTCATTGTGTTTGGCACCTGGCCAAAGCAAGGTATTGTTTTGTATTAGATAAGAAATGGAAGTGAACCATGAAAATACACTAGGAAAACAATTAGGCTAAGAACTCATGGCGCGATTTTCACCCGCGCCCGCGGCGGTTGCGGGCCCGCAGCTTCTGTAGAATGCAGATACTTATGTAAAAACTAATGCACAAACTCACGACGCGGTTTTCGCCCGCAGCGGGCGCGGTTGTAATCGGGTCCCGCTCGGCGGTTTACGCCCGCGCGAAAACCGCCCGATCGACGGGCGACCATTCTGTACCATTAACTTAGCACGCGGAGTTCTTAGAATGACCGCTCCCGTGAGTTTTGAAATAAAACCGCAATTCCACAACCGCCGCAGGCGCGGGTGGAAATCGCGCCGTGAGTTCTTAACCTTAATGTTCCTTAACTGCTAGGGAAAGAGTTTAACATACCTGTTGGTGCAACGGTGACTCCGGAGCTTGCTCCGCGGCGGCGGCCGAGAAGTGCGCCGACTGGGGACGTTTGCTGCCCGTTGAACTACGCAGCGATGACCACCTATTAAATAAACGAAGTAAAGTTAGGAAAAGGATCAAAATATATTTTTAGCTGATTTCAATGTCAATCAAGCGTCAAAACTTTTTCGATACTCAATCGTTTATGGCTTTATTACATTAGCGTATTCACATTAGCGTATTCACATTAGGTATACACAATGTTGCCACAATGTTTGCCGTGAGGGTACGGGACTTATCCCACCACACTTTCCCACCACTGCAATTCTTGTATAGAATCTCAATGCAGATCCATGGACTCTAGCTTACAGCTTGATCTCCAATGAAGCCCCCAACCAGTGAAAGTAAGTCGAGTAGTTCTTGGGGATAGCTAACTGTCTTGGAATCAACAACGAATTTAAAATCAGAAGAATATAGGAGGAGTTCCGAAATATAATATCGACATCCCTCCGTTGCAAGGTGGGAGAAAATTACTGTAAAAATGGGTGTGATAAGTGAGTGATGTATTTTACCTGTCTTGTAGCGTGTGGTGGTGGGACGCGTGCACAGTGGATAAGTTCTGGTAGAAGCCACCGTCGTGCGGCGCCGATAAGTTGTGGCTGCTGCGCGACTTGTTGGCCCACGCGTTGGGCGACCCAGGGCCCGACGTTTGCGATGGGTTCAACGTTGCACTGCAATGCAAATTGTACTTTGTTATTATTTATTTTATCATCTTATTATATTAGCTGTATGCACATGATATAAATTATTTTACTGTGTGTGTGTGCTGCTGTGATACTAAACATCGGTGTAAGTTCAGACGAATGAATGAAGTGTGTCTCCAAAGCTTGATTTAGCTTTTTTCTGAGATTGCGGTAGGCAGAGTGTTTATTTTAACTTTGTTATAGTGTTACACTATTATTTAACCTACTTTTTCGGTAGGTTGAGTGTACCTGTGTTGTTGATTGTTCTCTCACCTTTGCAGCTGTGCTTTTGGTAGGAGGAGGAATAAAATTGTGATTTTACATGTATCACATTTTTTGTAAGTAAATTATGTTCTATTTTTTCACCAGTTGGAAGATGGAGTATTTTGTTACCTGTACCATAGGCACATAGTGTTTCAATACCTGTGTTATAGGTATGCGAAGTGTTATCTTACCTGTGCTGCAGGTATAGACGACGGCACGTCAAAGGATCAAACACTAGGATTCAGTCCAGGGATTGGGATACAGCTATTATAGGAGCGAATTTGCAATAAAAAGAAGAACGGTCATCTGTGACCCAGGCCCGACAGAAACGAGATATACCTCAGTTTTTTTGTCATGTCTTAATTAGTTAAATTATATATTTTTTATATTCGAAATCTATGTAGGTATAACAGTAAAATATTACCCTTTGTTTTTGTTCAGGCGTTATACAAAAACTAATACAAAATGCCTATTTATCACCAAAATTGGTAAATGTATGTACCTAAATGTCTATTACAGCTGCCATGGAATGTATCTAGGTGACCTGGAGATACAGCCGGATTATACAGGGTGGAAACGAGAAGTTACAAAATCCAAAAATTCAATGGTACCAGCTTCCATAATCTGTAACCTATTATTGGTACCATTTGAAAGAGCTCGTGAAGCACTTTCAGAATCAGTAACTAGTTTTTCGATATCTCGTATAGTTTAGAAATAATCGAGTGAGATCACTTATCGTTCCATGTGTATAACCACCCTGTATAATCCGGCTGTATCTCCAGGTCACCTAGATACATTCCATAGCAGCTGTAATAGACATTTAGATACATATATTTACCAATTTTGTTGATAAATAGGCATTTTGTATTAGTTTTTGTATAACGCCTGAACAAAAACAATGGGTAATATTTTGGTGTTATACATAGATTTCGAATATAAATAATATATAATTTAACTAATTAAGCCATGACAAAAACACTGAGGTATGTCTCGTTTCTGTCGGGTCTGGTTTTTTTTTGTATGGGGCGTGACCGTTCTTCTTTATTTGTCAGATATCGTCATAAATTATAGCCTATATGTTAATCTGGGTTATATAAACAATAATACTGTAGAGTTACAATAAAATCCATTCAGTAGTTTTTGCGTGAAAGAGTAACAAACATCCAGACATCCACACAAACCTTCACATTTATAATATTAGTGGGATATTAGTAGGATTATCAGAGTAAGTTGTTGCCTCAAATTTCGTTGAGCGACATATACATGAGTGTACTTCTCACCTGTGCTGCAGGTAGGCGGGGTGCGCGTGCGGCGGCTGGGCGGCGTGGTGCAGCGCAGGCGTGCTCTTGCTGGGCTTCACGGGCTCGGCCGCCAGCCGCGACGGTAAGTCCCGCTCCGATAAACGCCGCGCGCCGCCTACGCCCGGCGCGCTGCCTGCTCCTATACGATGGATAGGTTAGACTGGGTTTTGTTGTGGTTAAATATCTCAGGTACACTACTCGCGAATTCGGTTGAAGTTTGTTGAAAGTAGACACGCACTTTACTTCGCTTCGAGAAACGTCGCTTACGCCGTTATTCACAAACATTACTATGAGACAAAAGAAAATTTCAACGGGTTCATCCAGTGTCTAAGTAGCTCAGTTGGAAGAGCAGTCGCCCGGCAAGCGGAAGGTCGTGGGTTCAATTCCCGCCTTAGGCAGTTCAATTTTTCAATTTATTTATAATTTTCAAATTAGTTTGAGATGCGACTCCAAACGCTAAAAATTTAATAACTACATTACTATGAGGTCACACAGTGCGCACAGGGTGACACATGAACCAATCGCAGAGCTCTATTTAACGCTGTGCGTTCGATTTGCTGTCTTCAATTAAGCAAGCATCGTTTGTGAATACGGGCGTTAGCCTCGTCCGACTGTTGTCGGTATTGCGCCCGAGTCAAAGGCCCGAAGTGTTTTAGATTTAACGAAGTCTGGCTACACTACTCGGTTATTTTCGTTAAGTACCGAAGCGAGTGATGTATGTGAGGTATAAAACATACAAAATAATATTACATACTAACTTATTGTGCTAACATAAAACAATAAATAACTAATTACTACTAATATTACAAAAGCTTAAAATTAAATACTTAAGCTACGTTCTCAATTTTTTTTATGATTGTGCGACTTTTTTTAATGAAGCCCTCGCAGAAACCTTACAGTGTGTTACAGAGTTTCCCACAGCAATGAGAACGACTACGATAACCTAAAATAATACAGAGAAAGAAAAATAAAGAAGGATCTAAAACTATAAACAAAAAGAAATAGAAATAATAATTTGACTAATTTTCTTTATTAAAATAAATAATTATACAGGAAATAAAAATAGCCCCACTTGCACCTTAGTTTGTTATTGTCCAATTTCGTAAGGATTTGGGAAAAGTTTTAGGGCACAAGTGGAACTCTAACAAAATGACTAGAAAAGGCGTGACACATTCGCAAATAAAGTAACGAACTTTAGAAAAATACTGTAACTGTGCTGATAAAAAATAAAACGACGTCATGCCCGTAAATAAAAAGTGTGAGTGCGGTTGAACATACACAGATAACATCGCAAGTGCGGAACTATATCCAGAGTAAATACAAATGAGTAGGTCATCTTCATAGAAACGCACCGAGCGCGGTTTGTATGTAAGCGCGCCAATACGTATGCGGCGCGCACGCACACACTGACAAAATTCAGCGCACCTCACCGCTAATCCACGCTAAATTTAGTTAGAGTGTGCGTGCGCGCCGCATACGTATTGGCGCGCTCACATACAAACCGCGCTCGGGCGTTTCTATGAAGATGACCTACTCATTTGTATTTACTCTGCTATAACACACCTATATCATGCGTGGTGTGGGGTCTTACGCGAGGGGGGCGGGGGGCGCAGCGCCGGGCAGCTGTGGTGCAAGCTGCAGCCGACAAACGCGCTGCGGCCGCGAGCACTGCTGCTGATATTCGGACAGCTCTGCACCACCGTCGAGTACGACTCCCGCCGCGATTCTACCTTCGACACGTCGAGGAGAGACACCGACCCTTTTTCCGTCGTCCCCACCACTCTCGGCAATCGATTCTCCGAGCTGTCGCTCCGAACAGACTCTTTACTTGTTTTCACTTGTTCCGAGTTCACGCTAGACTGATTCGACTTCAGTTTGATGTTCTCGAGAGTTATCACCCGCGGCTTCTTGTCAATAATCTCGTTGAAAACGAAGCCAGTGCCCTCGGCGTGTTCTTCCGATGGCAAATTAGGCAGTTCGAACTCATTACCCTGAGCCAATGTGTCCTCGCTTCCTCGCGAGCCATACCTCGACCAGTCTTCTAGTTGGATAAGAATGCTCTTCACTTCATCGTCCGACATTTTCTCCCCTCTAGTGTCTGTGGTATCGGTTTTATTGGATTCATAGTGGATATCAGCTAAACTAGCACTACTTTGTATGTTATCTATAACTTTAAACGACTTTTCGATGCGACCGCTTAAGTTTGGACTAGATTGGCAGTTTCGTTTGTAATTCATGACGCTGTAGCTTAAATTAATATCGTTAAAGTGCTTCGTTAGAGCTTTGACTTTACCGAACGACGGCCTGTACTCGTCCGGCGATTTCCAGGATTTTCTATCGACGCAGTCGAGTATCTGTTTGGCACCAGTCTCGAGTGGCGTCTGCGCCGGGCTTTTGACTGGCGGAACATTCGACGTGTCACCGCAGGACTCGGACGTGGAGTAAGTGGACGGACCGTCGGTGTCTTCCGATTTGCTCGAAAACGACTTCGACATATTAAACAGAGCCCTTCTCAGTCTACAATGAATATTATTAAATTCCCTAGCTTCTCTTTTTACATCTAAGCTTAATTCTATTTTTCTCGGCGCGGGCGTCGGTATCGGTTTCTCTTCCAATGGAGAGGAGGGCGTTTGGCAAACGGCATCGGCGGTCTCCTTTTTCACCTCGTCGGGTTGGTCCAAGGACAGCGAAGGGAGTATTCGGCGAATTTTGGGCGTGGCGACTTCGGGAGGAGCGCCGTCGTTTTCGAAGATGACCGGTTCGGAGTTGGGTTCGTCAATGAAGGGGATCGGCTGCGTCTCCGGCTGCGGCGTGCGGCAGCAGTCGCAGGCGCTGACGCACTCGTCGACGCCGGTGCATCGCCCGCGGTAGTACTCGTGGTCCTTTGGGCGAGCGTTGAAGAGGTCTAGGGTGAGCTTCGTGTCGATGGGCCTCATCTGTGGGGGGAGGCAGATGGGTTCTCCACTCTCGCTGGACTGGTCGCAGGCGCAGGGCCGAGGAGGGGGCGGTGGCGGGGCGGGGACGGGCGGTGGTTCGTGGCTGTCGTACGTGGTGGTGTCGCTGCCGATGTTTTGCTCGTCGAAGTCCTCACACGTGAACGTGAACACTGGTATAGATCGCGGCGGACCCTCGCATTTGAGCTCGAGGGGGCAGCCGGGGGTGTCCGGTGATAAATCTTCTTGGAGCTGTTCAGTTTCCCTATCTAGGGTGATGATGAGGCGGGGTATGGAGCCGTGGTAGTGCGGGTAGCAGGGCTCGCTCTCGTCGGAGCTGGTCTCGCTGGACTCGTCGCGTAGGTGGCAGCGGTCGCCGCATGGCCGCCGGCCGTAGCCTGCAACGTCGACTGCGTTGTATTATTCCACTCCTAATACTTATTCAAATTCACAATAGCCATCAGATAAAAAGCAGAATAATAAAGCGAAATAAATTCAAACCGAAAATAAAATACTAACCATAACTGCAAATAAAACGAGGTAATTTTCTCGATCGTAGAACAAAAAAAAAACATAATTGCGGGGAGTAATTGTTTCGGCAGCAACAACACAAACAAAAGCTTGAAATTGTTGGAATGTAATTGACGTTGCACAAGACTCGAAGTCGTTAATAATGAAGTTGAACAGTTGCCGAGATAGTGTTTACAGAAAATTAAGCTAAGCCCTCCTAGCCTCTGTTTGGAGCTTTATTTTGAAATAAACCAATTTCGTAAAATGACAGTTAATTTTGAATTTCATTCAATAAGTATCGTTTATTACCGCCCATCAATTAGCCTACTCAATCCCATTCTTATCACCGATCATTCAACTGAAGCGTATTCTGACGCGCAAATATAATTGACACTAATGCCTTGATCACACGTACCGAGCAAACGGGCGAGACAGTGCTCTCGGCCGAGTACTCGGTGTGTATGAACATTACGCCGAGTGCTCGGCCGAGCGCTCGAGTATGTGACTCGCTCACCCAACTGTCTCGACCGAGTAAAAATTTTACTGTCTCGCCCGTTTATAATGCTTAATTCAATACAACATACATCTGTTTCCGCAATTTATTACACCGATCTTGTCGCGACAAGGAAAAATTTCCGTGCTTTTAAGCGATTTTGTGAAAAATATTATTGGCAGGTAGTTGCTAATTGCTCATAAGATAGGCCCCCTCAATTTAATTTATTGTCCGTGGTGCATAATCTTTTCTTAAAGGTTTTAAACCTTTGTTTGTCACCTGTCATCCGCTTTGCAATGGAGGGAAGTCGAACCTTAATTTCGAACTCCTCCTATGTTCTTCTGATTAATTTCGTTGCGGGTCCAATGACAGTTTAACTTTCCCCCGGGACAAACTTGACCTTCATTGGTTGGGTTTTTGTGACGGTCAAGCTGTAGATCCTGGCTACACAGGAGTTGCAGTGGTGGGAACGAGAGGTGGGAATAGTCCCGATGTCTCGCCCGTTTACTCGGTACGTGTGATCAAGGTTTATCGAGTGTTGTGCAAGCGCCGCGTAGGGCTGGGACACGTATTACGGGGCGACAACATCGAGTGTCGATATATCGTGCCTGCGGTGGCGAGCTCGGTGCGCGGCGAGGCGGGCCGCAGCAGCGCGGGGTGCGTGTTGGTGAACGTGCCCGAGTTGCGCCGCAGCCGGTGCTCGTACTGCACCTCCTCTGAGCGCACACCGATTAGCCGACAATTATTATTTATTGTCTGTTCTTTGATTATGTACTTAATTTAACTATAATATTTGCTGTCACTTAAAAGGTACATATCACGTGTTCATGAAACAGACGACTGATTTTAGATATATATAAGCATCCTGAAATATTAATCATCATAATATTCGCTTGGCATCGATAAAGAAGTATTATGTCTTATACAGACAACAGCACTATAAGTTAACCACATAGGCATCTTCTTAAGTTGTGATAAAGTACGGCCAACTAGCAGCGATACAAAAGGTCGATTGGACTGTCGAACTGACAATCTATTCTTTCTCTTCCCATCTTATGTATTTGTCGTAATGTCTCGTTCTCCCGCCAAAATATGTCAAAGTCAAACCCTTAGGCTGGGTTGCACCATCTTACTTTAACTTTGACAAACGTCAAAAATCTGTCAAATTCCATACAAAAAGCACCGGTTATCGTCATAGTTACCGTTAAAGATAGGTGGTGCAACCCACCCCTACTATTCCAAATGACCATGACATTGGGTTTGTTTACATTTGGTATCGCTTCTCGTTGGCCGTACTTTAGATGTTTCTTTACAACATACACGTCCGATGTGCGGTTGTCTATATTAGAACGAGGGGTCACATTACACGGGATTGTAGCGTCGCGGCGTCACAGCACTCACAGCAACGATGAAAGGTGTTGACGAGAATTCTTTTACAAGTAAAACACCGCAACGAAATGCTCGTCGCGCCGCTGCCGAAATATACTAAACAGATGTCCCTTTTAGTGCGCGTATCGTATGCTCGAATTTTTTGATACTCAATAAGGCAGGTTTTAGAATCGCGCTGACCGCTCGCTGATCGTCGGCGCTGACATATCAATATGTATGTATTGAGGGCTTTCGCGAATGAAAAATCCGCCAGATGGCGGGACGTGGATGTAGGGTCTGACTGCTGCGTGATTGGTGGATTTTAATATATCTGTCAATGTCATGTCAAAAATAAATATTTTTTTTTTTTATCCACAACGAGGAAGCTCTTAGCCTGAATCTCACCTGATGGTAAGTGATGATCAGGCCGAAGGTCGAAGCGAGCTTCACTCGGAATCCTCAACCACGGAGGAACTGGCTATCTTACCTCTAACTGCCGGAACACAACAATGCTCTTAACTTTGTTGTTATGGCGACAGACTTAGGTAAGATGGTGGTAGCTAGCCAGGCGGACTTAGAACAAGCCCTACCACCAACCAAACCGAACAGAAAAATCTGCCCCCACTGGGAATCGAACCCGGGACCTCTGTGTCTGAAGCAGGTGGTCTTACCACTAGACCACAGAGGCGGTTAATAGGACTCTTTTATAATGCGAACTGCTAGGGACTGGAATTCGTTGCCTGCTGCTGTCTTTCCCGAAAACTATAATCCGGGCCTCTTCAAGGCGAGAGTGAATAGGCACTTACAGGGCAGATATGTACCATCCTAGACTGCATCCCACTTAACATCAGGTGCGATTGTGGTCAAATACTTGCCTTGTTATGCATAAAAAAAAAAAACTACCAATCATGCAGCATTTGGACCTCGCGTCTACGTATTGCCATCTGACGGATTTTTCAATCGCAAAAACCCTCATTGAAGGGATTCCTGAGGGACGCTGATCGCTCGGCGCCGACGCTTCATACATTTCGGCTGTCAGCGCTGACGGTCAGCGTGATTCTAAAACCAGCCTAAGATTTGTTTCTACGGTTGACCCTATCGCGGCGGCACCTACCTTGCTTGTTGTAGGCGGGCTGGTGGAGCAGCGTGGCGAGCCCGTGTAGCACGGCGCCCTGCTTGGCCACCTCCAACGTCACCACCGGGCCCGTACGCATCAGGTATTCCGCCGCCTAAGGAAGAATAATTTATTTGAGACTAGCTGACCCGGCGAACTTTGTTCCGCCTTAATGGCAATAAATAACGGGATAAAAAGTATCCTATGTCCTTCTCCTGGCTCTAAACTACCTCCCTGACAATTTTCAGCTAAATCGGTTCAGCCGTTCTTGAGTTATAAGTGGAGTAACTAACACGACTTTCTTTTATAATATAGAAGATAGATTGTGCCATAATAGACAAAGACAATAGGTTTGTAAATAGCCACAAAACAGCATCGTTCGTTTGTTTCAACCAAATGACGCCTACAGCTGGATAAAAGCTACAACGACCGATGCGATGCTCACGTACAGGTGTTTCCCGCGACCTTCACTAATGAGGGCTATCGTTTTTATACTTAACAGTTGGCACCCCTGGCGATTGACAGGACCTTACTCTACAGTGGCGCCATCTTGATGAGTGCAAATGCGATAGTCCTCCTACCACTTTAGCGCTCGTTGGCGCCACTGTCTTCGCTACTAGCAAGTGACAGGACCTTACTCTACAGTGGCGCTAACTGGTGAGCGCTAAAACGATAGCCCTCATTGTCTGCTTACAGGTCAGTTAACTAAAGCTGGCACGATTAACACATTTACACATTGCGATTGTGTAGTGTCTGTGAATAAGCGCGCGGCGCACCCATTTTACTAGAAACTAACTCATCATTTATTTTTAAACATACTGTATAGTGAAATTGCGTAAGTGTGAGTACTGTGAACGTGCTTAGTTAACTGACCTGTACCCTGTTGAGAGCATATCTTCGGACATGTCAGCACCGTTCCATAACACGTTTATGGACGAAGTTTTTTATTAGATCTTCGAAATGTCAAACTTTAATTTGCATTTTAACTCGCTTAAAACAATATCTTATAGGACCTTGCTTGCTAGTACAGTCTTGTGGAGAGCTATGGCGCAATTTTTTTTTGTTAATTGATCGCTTACCTTCTCCTGGGTAATGCCGACAAGCGACTGCCCGTCGACCGACAGCAGTTGGTCTCCGGCCGCGAGTCTTCCGTCCGCCGCCGCCGCGCCGCCTGCCACCACTGATTTTATGTAGATGCCCAACTTGTTCTGACCGTAACCCTGCGGAATAAGGTTGAAAATTGAGACGATTTTGCCCGACTGAGCCTAGCGTCCAAAACTTTTCACTCGCTATCCAACTGTTTTTGAAACAATAACAACCTAAATAACATATTGCTTAATTGTACAGGGCGACTTCTAATAAGTAATATCCAAGGAATACTTGACACTGCGGCATTTTTATGTCTATGCCAACAGACTATATTTTTATTGCCAAATAGCTCTTATTACAACTGCATAAGATTCTGCAGTATTTAGCTTGACTTGATGTCATACACACAACATTAACAACAAATGATTTTTTTATGAAAGACAAGGCAGACATTTGACCGCAATCGCACCTGGTGTTAAGTGAGATGCAGTCTAGGATGGTACATAATAATATCTACATTTACGTAATGAAACATAACAAACCTTAGCAGCGACTATACTGAGTCCCATCCCAGCGGAGTTTTTATTCAGCTGTATAATATGCACCCTCGGGTCGGGCCTCGGTCTCGCGGGCGCGTGGCCTCCCATATACACGGTCCACACGCCAATCGCGTGCGGTTGGTGCGCCAGGCGACATAACCCTCCTCTTTGCAGTGGGGCAACGAACTCGGCGAGTCCAGGAGGCACACCGCGGACCACTTCTGCGCTGAATCCGTCACCCGGTATGAGGAGGCCCGTGCCTAGCCATACGCTTTCTTCTAAGCGGATCTAAAAAAGAAACACATTTTAAGTTCGAAAGTTATAGATCGTTTCATCCACGAAGACGCGCTCCACCATTCTACCGCTAATGTTTGAGTGTTATCGGTACATACATGCACTACAATAATGACGTTCGGATTACTCAAATCAAACTCCCGCAACCCGCGATTACCTCGACCAAAAATTGGTGGGGCGTGTCTTCGTGGATGAAATGATTTATATATTTTATCAATTCGTATAATAAATAAAATATTCAATTTTGTTTTTAACGAGGAACAAACTGTTGTGAATGAAATATTTTGGTGTAAACTTACCTCTCTGCCATCAGATCTGTGTAGTTCATCGGACAAGGCCCGGGCGTGCGCCACAGCTGCTTCCACTATGTCGGGCGAGGCCAGAGGCGTGAGCAGCGCTCGAACCTAAAGACGAATTATTTCATACAATTTTATTGCAAAATGCCTACAGAAAGTGCTTATGTCTTTGACAAACAGGAGTTTGACTACTCTGAGGTGTCGTTTAATAAAGTATGAATTAGATTATTGTATTACCTGGACGGAGTTGAGCTTGAAACAGGCTGAGAGCGCCGCCCGCACCTCGTCTGCCGTGCGGTACGTGCCTTGGACCAGCCGGGCTGTGACAAACAAAATCTCAATTAAAGAATGTCATCGCAAGTTATTTTATCGACAGTTAAAATCTATTCACTCGTACATGAAAGTCATGAGCGCGTCGACTTTTTTTCAGGCATCTTGAAGCCACGATAGCCGGACGGTGAAGGGGTCGGACTGGCCGACTCGTAATCCGGGGAATGCAGGTTCAGTCCCCGCATTGTGGTGAGCTCACTCGTGATACAAGCATATTTTAGCTTAGTACGAGGGGCTAACGGGACTATTAGTACCCGTCCCCTGCTGGTATACTGACCGGCCTGCATGGTGCGCGCCAGGTGGCAGTCGGCGGCGATCTCCAGCCCCTGGCGCTCGGCCCACGCGGCCAGCAGCGCGAACCGCGCCGACAGCGGCCGTCCCCTGCTGGTGTACTGACCGGCCTGCATGGTGCGCGCCAGGTGGCAGTCGGCGGCGATCTCCAGCCCCTGGCGCTCGGCCCACGCGGCCAGCAGCGCGAACCGCGCCGACAGCGGCCGTCCCCTGCTGGTGTACTGACCGGCCTGCATGGTGCGCGCCAGGTGGCAGTCGGCGGCGATCTCCAGCCCCTGGCGCTCGGCCCACGCGGCCAGCAGCGCGAACCGCGCCGACAGCGGCCGTCCCCTGCTGGTGTACTGACCGGCCTGCATGGTGCGCGCCAGGTGGCAGTCGGCGGCGATCTCCAGCCCCTGGCGCTCGGCCCACGCGGCCAGCAGCGCGAACCGCGCCGACAGCGGCCGTCCCCTGCTGGTGTACTGACCGGCCTGCATGGTGCGCGCCAGGTGGCAGTCGGCGGCGATCTCCAGCCCCTGGCGCTCGGCCCACGCGGCCAGCAGCGCGAACCGCGCCGACAGCGGCCGTCCCCTGCTGGTGTACTGACCGGCCTGCATGGTGCGCGCCAGGTGGCAGTCGGCGGCGATCTCCAGCCCCTGGCGCTCGGCCCACGCGGCCAGCAGCGCGAACCGCGCCGACAGCGCGCCGCCCCACCGCGCGCTGATGCTGCCCGCCTCCGTCACCAGCTGGGGAAACAAAAATCAAATGTAATAACAATATGTGCTGGAGCTGAAAAGAAATGGTGGAAGAAATTCAGTCACCTTTAATAGGAATGTTGGCAAAAGTTTACCAATTTAAGATATTATACAGTACGCTTCACAGGGAGTTGATAAGTTGGTTTCGGTGAAGATTGAATACTCATTAATCTACTGATCAGTGGTGTTACCAAAATTAAATCTCATGCGCTGCAAGGTGACCGATATACGTATGCGTATACGCTGCTATGCCTACAGAGACTGCATTTCTTTTAATCCTGGTTTAAACACGCGCGATAACCACGCGGTTTCTGGGTGGTTCTCTTCTCAGTAGCGATGCACTGAGGCGGTAACTAAAAAAAATAAATGTGCACGGTAGCCCGCTTGCAATCGAACATTCGCGCACGTACGCACGAACGTAACTACGGTAGCAGCGGCGAAGGAGCACCATGGTGGCGGCGATAGTTGGCAGCGCGGACGCAGTGCCTTGCTCGCAGGCGAATGCTCGCGAGCGTTACGTACCTTATTGAAGCACACTGCGTTGATGTAGTGGAACAGATGCGAGAACAGCTGGATCGTGAGCGCCGCGTTGACCCGACAGCGTCGCAGCAGGACCATAGCAGCCGCTAGAGTCTGCAGCGTGGGCGCAGTGGCTTCGGTCGAATCGGTAATGCTCGGACTACTGAGGGTCGCTAGAGCTCGGGATAACTCCTCTTGGAAACAGGTCACTAGGTTACTGGAAAGAAAAGGATGATTCAGAAATTAAAAATCAGGTACTATATTATGTTATTGTATTGTGTAAAGTTCACGGGTTGCTTACATTATAATATTATGCATGCTGTGGTTATCGTTTGTGTGGGAGCAGTTAGCTAGAGACCTTTGGCTTATTTTTTTTAATTGTGTATGATACTGTATCTCATGATGATAGCCCAATAAAATAAATAAATAAATGGCTGATAAGACAGTTTGGATTTAAAAAGTTTGAGGAAGCCAGGAGGTAAACACAAAACTAAGTTTAAGGTACTCAGGCGAAGGATACAAGGCGAAAGAAATTCCACAAACAAAAATGTATCAAGTCTCGTGGTTTCAAGAATTCACAATCTACACTAATATTATAAAGAGGAAAACTTTATTTGTTTGGTTGTAATGAATAGGCTCAAAAACTACTGGACCGTTTTTAAAAATTCTTTCACCATTCGAAAGCTACATTATCCACGAGTAACATAGGCAAAATTTTATTTTGGAAAAAAATAGGGTTCCGTAAAATATGTAGATAATGTGGTCCACGCGCGCGAAGCCGCGGGCGGAAAGCTAGTGATTTATAAATTCCTACACTTAGAATCGCAAGATATTATGAAAGAGTATTTACCTAAAGGCGTTTTGTACAGTTGTAGGGAGTAAATCCTGCGCTTGCGTTGAAAACGATGATATGTGTCGATCACATTTCAGGAAGTGAAGTAATTCACTGGCGTTCGCCATCCAGAAAGCTTGAGCTGCCGAATCGTTGCATCGTTGCTAGAAAAAAAGATATTTTTATAATACTTAGAAGTCTTTGAGCTCTTAAAACAAAACAATATCTTAAGAATAATAAATAGATTGGAATGTTATATAGGAATATCCAAAAAGACGGCTTTAAAACTACGGATGAATGTTAAAAGAATAGCTAATGAAAAAATATATTTACCTGTACAGTTTCGTGTATTAAAGTGGCCACGTGGTGCAGGAACGCAGTGAGCTTGTGCGCCCGCTCCGTGGGGGTTAACTCCGGCCGATAGTGGGTTGACGCACGATATCTACAGTGAAACAATAAATTAACTTTATTTATTTTTCTTTTTGATGTGAATCTATATATACAGGGTGTTTCTTGTAAGGTGTCAAGCCGAAGGCAGGTGATAGGTGAGGATTAGACCTATCGATTTCACCCCCATGTATGTTCTACGATTTTTCGTAGTTTAGAAGTTATCGTTAATTTTGAGATTTTTTCAAATTTTATGACCTAGTGGCTTAATTTTTTTTTAATCTTTTTTTTGGGTTAACTTTTCTCAGATTTCTTTTTTTTGACAGATTTCCTATTAGTTGCAGATATTTGAAAAAAATAATCACCTTTCTATCTTTGATGCAAGATACAAAATTTTTGCTAGAAACATAAAAAATATGCTTTTAGCAGAACATTCTAAAATTTTCAACTGAAATGTATGAGAAAAAAAAGAATTTCCATAGGTCCAAAATAATTTTAAAAACTGCGCAGTTTCCTAAACTTTCATAATAACACAAAAAAACATGTACTTAATAGGCCATTATTTTCTGTAATCGCTCCACTAAAGTGGTAAGTCGGAGATTCCGTTACATGTTTTTGACTTTCTTAGGACTAATTTTTTTTTCTCATACATTTCAGTTGAAAATTTTAGAATGTTTTGCTAAAAGCATATTTTTTATGTTTCTAGCAAAAATTTTGTATCTTGCATCAAAGATAGGAAGGTGATTATTTTTTTCAAATATCTGCAACTAATAGGGAATCTGTCAAAAAAAAGAAATCTGAGAAAAGTCAACCCAAAAAAAAGATTAAAAAAAAATTAAGCCACTAGGTCATAAAATTTGAAAAAATCTCAAAATTAACGATAACTTCTAAACTACGAAAAATCGTAGAACATACATGGGGGTGAAATCGATAGGTCTAGTTCTCACCTATCACCTGCCTTCGGCTTGACACCTTACAAGAAACACCCTGTATAAAAGAAAGTCGTGTTAGTTACTCCACTTATAACTCAAGAACGGCTGAACCGATTTAGCTGAAAATTGTCAGGGAGGTAGTTTAGAGCCAGGAGAAGGACATAGGATACTTTTTATCCCGTTCGAAATAAAAAAAAAAGTCTGCTTATTTATTGCCATTAAGGCGGAACAAAGTTCGCCGGGGCAGCTAGTGAACAATATAAAATGCATGGAGTAGCTTCTTAATTATGTAATAGATAAAGACTACGATTGAATATATCGTTCTACACTCACTAATCAAAGTTTCGAGTTACAAAAACTTCTGTGTGCGAACTTCTTTATTTAGTGATCATTATTTAATACAAGGACCTTGAGTATCTGAAGGACTATGTTATTTGTGTGCGTACAGTCACATGCAATATTTGTCAACAAAAGCAATTTCGTAAATAAGGGTCTCTCGACAACTTGGCCTCGAAACTCTGTTAAAAAGTATTTTTAGGCGAAAAGTTCTTGCAATAACCATAACTTTAACGAACCTTGCAGTACATAACTAATGATGAGACAAAAACTTATTAATGAAAAAAACTGTAGTTCATTCCAATTTATGGGCGATTTTTATCAAGCGAAGACTAAAAATCGGCTAGGCGTCTTTATAAATTACGTAAAAAGTAAAGGAAATTACGCATTAATATGGCTCGTTCGGTCGATGAAATGATATGTCCTCAGTGGATGAACTTATAAACCTTACATCTACAGTGGTCGAACAATTTTTTCTGTTGTCGTTGACACGTTTAGCGACCACTTGGCGCGACACACACTTCAGCTTCGGCCGTATAGGCCTTGATGTATCCGGGACCAGCTTTACTTTGGGAACATGACATCAAGATGCCATAAATATAGCTTTTCACCTATTACACATTATCACAAAATTAAAAGTAAAGATAGCTTTTGAACTATGCAACTTATACTATCGGCCACAGTGTTAACTATCCATTTCCGTTTTTGCTCTGGCTCTCATCAAATGGTGATTCTTTGCGATATTACAAGACGACATGACCGGCAATGGACAGTTAACACTTGCCGATAGTACATTACATACCTGGCGCATAGGTATAGTGTGTAGACGGGGGCGAGCTTAAAGGCTGGCGCGTGCGGGTCGAGCCTGGACACGACGGCGGCCAGAAACTGCGCCTGGCCCTGCTCCGGGAACTCCAGTACCGCTGGCAAGATGGCTTCCTGCCCCGGCCGTGTAGCGCTGCCCACTGACGCGCTCATCCTACAAGCGTTATGAACTAGTAAGAGAGGTGTCACTCGGGCGTTGACGTTGCGTTGCGGTGCCACAGCGGAGTCCCAACCAAAATTGTACGGGCGGGAGTGCAGTGGTTGTAAGGCACCGCTCCCGTGCCCGGGATATGCGGTCAGGAAGGAAACTAACTCCCAAGTGAGCCTAGAGCCCTATTCCCTAAGCCACTAAGTCCCTAGAGCCCTAGCCCTGCCTAACAGTCACTACGGAGCGGCACCGCAACGTTAAAACCCGTGTGGAGAGATCTAAGACAGTTTATAACAGTATAGATCGATCAAAGAAAGTTGAGGTGACCACACTCACACTGATGTTTTATCTTTCCCCTGGGACAAACTTGAAGTTGATCTTCACTGGTTGGGTTTTATTTGGCGGTCAAGTCGTAGATCCTGGCTACACAGAAGTTGCAGTGATGGGTACGAAAGATAGGAATAGTCCCGTCATACTGATGTAATATTTGAATTCAGAACATAAATCAGTCAGATTAAGAAGCGCGCCAAGCGAATACAGATACAAATCTATTTTTTATTGTCTTCTTTTGTTGATCGCCTCAACTCTTGCTGCGACACAGATTCTCAAGAACTGCATCGGTGTACAACTGTTACATAAGATTTTACTCATCCCAAGTTCATCCGTAAGTTTCAGTCGATGACAAGGTGAGTAAGATTAAGTACGAACTTGATATATGACATAAATATAATACGCTATCCTTTCTGCTCTCATACAGAATTGAAGTCTGGGTAAGTTTCATCAATCTTCATTATAAAAGTAAAAGTTGGCTATGAACTACGCTGTTATTTCAAAACTTTAACCTTTTCGGGTATGGTATCGAACGATAAAAACATTTTATTTCAAACAATTCAAACCAAACATTATTTCTGTGAAGTGTCACAAAACCTGCAGTAAAAAGGGCGCAAACTGTATTTAAAATTTTAGTCATGTGTTGGTGTGTTAAATATACAGAGTCAGTAACGAGCACTAATGAAAGATGGGTACAAAAAGCACACACAACAAAACGAATATACAGAAATAAACAAAAATGTGCAGAATACCTGTTGTCGTGTCCTGAGCCGCCGCTTTTCGCGCTGCAAATGCTTTTCGTCTCTACATTTCCGTCTAGATCGAAAGTGGTTTCGTAGTTGTCTTTGTACTGGGAGTTTGCGGTTCTGTTCGGAGTTGCATTTTGTTCCTGGTCGTTGTAGACCGAGCCACTCTGCTCGTCGGGCGCGTAATCGTCAACCGCGCCGATGACTTGTTGAGACATCATCAGCGACTCGCTGTCGAGCTTCAGCGTGTTGTTATTGTAGGGGCGTGACCCATCGTCGTCTCGGTACTGCCTCTGGCCGTTATCGTCCACGTACGGGCGGGGCGTCACGTCATCGTCGCGATACTGCCTCGAGCTGTCGTCGGCGTCGCGGTAGGGGCGCGGCGTCGTGTCGTTGTCGCGGTAGTACGTGTCCTGCGACACGGGGCTCATGGTCCGCGAGTAGTCGTCGGCGGTGTTCGCGTTGGCGTCGGCGTGCGGCTCGTGCGACGCGACCGACGTCGGCGACATCGCGCTGCTGCTGCCCGGCGACGTCGGGGATCTAACGGGGGTGACGTACACAAGCGGATGGTCGTGAGCCAGTGAGATAGTAACATGCAAAAGAAAACCACGATGATAGATGACGAACATAAAAACAACTTGAGTGATAATAGAAGCTCGAGCTGATAGTCTTATATCAGTTTCAGATAGTTAAATTATGTAGTTACATTACAAAAACATAAAATTGCTGGTGTAAGAATGGGCCTTCTAATCTGTAAACTAATAAACAAAATTGCTCTGTAAGGCTTTTGCTACAACACAACATTTATAGTGGTGGGTTACATTTAGCTTGCTTACCTGTCGTAGATCGAGCCGGAGCCGAAGTGCTGCGACTGCGAAAGGTTCCTGTTCAGGATGCTCTCCTGCATGGGGTCCACGAAGCGGAAAGTGGACACGCGCCCGAACTTAAGCAAGCATCCATGCTGCAAAACAAAATAGCGTTCAATTGAAGTGGCCGCGGGAGCACATCGAAATAATGCTAAAGCAAACAAAAATACAAGAGTTGCTCGCTAAGGACTTTTCTTTAAATATTTATGTAACCCTCGTACAGCGTTTCCATTATGTTCACGCTCCGTTTAGAAGCCCTCCAGGCTGTGGAATGGATGGGAATAAGCAAGCTGGTGAATATGTATTATTAATCTAAAACTGGGCGACAGTAAATAGCTGATGCACGTCTCGGGAGAATGCTAGCGAGCGGGATACTTTATTTCAAGTGGCGTGAAGTGATGGCAAATCAGACTCAATATTATTGCCGATTGTAGCGGTAAAAGTTTGAAGCTATTACTTTTTATACTTTTTTATGGTTAGTAAATAAAGTTAATTACGAGATAAAAAGGAACTAATTGGGGCTTTCCAAAACGGAAAGTAGACTCATATCGGACAAAGACAATTTGATCATATTTCCTGGTAGACTGATTTGGTCCTACATCCTTTTAAGTTTTCCTGACCCCTGATTAAAATGTTTGCTCGCCGCCGAAGATGCCTTTGCATCGATTGGTTTTAGATCCAACAAAGTGACGTAACCTAAATATCTGGGTCCACGTCGCTCGCGCGTGCACCACGTCCTCATTGGATCTTGCACTAAAGCTTCAACCACACCAACGCGTTCAAATCGCCATCGCCGGCGCGATCAAAGCCCAATGACAGGTCGCGCGACCCATGACAGTTCATATGACCTGTCATTTCACTTTGATCGCGCCGGCACGGTAATACTAGGCGATGGTGATCTGCACGCGTTAGTGTGGTTTAAGTGTTTCGTGTAACCGAAGCGTGGTGAGTCTTCCTGTGTTCCTGCTATTGATATTAACCTGCAGCCGCTGCGTGTGCGTGACGCGGCGGCCGTTGAGGTAGACGTGCGCGTCGGCGTGCAACGCAGTGCCGCGGCTGGATCGACGGCCCGTACAGCTGGAGGGCGGCGCCGTCGCCGGAGCCTGAGAGCGCTTGTAGACGTCCGTTTTTTCACCGGACGACGGACCGTCAAAAAACGGATATCCTTTGTTTGCTGTCAATTTTCTAGCCGGACCCATGTCCGATGCATGTGCACACGTCCATTATAAACTATACACCACCGCTAAATCCGGTGAAAAAATCTTGCCGTTGTCCGGTCAAAAAAACGGATTTCTACAAGCGGCCTGGTAGACACTGACCTGCAGCCGCTGCGTGTGCGAGACGCGGCGGCCGTTGAGGTAGACGTGCGCGTCGGCGTGCAGCGGCGTCACGGTGTACCCGCCGCCGTCCGCCGGCGCCACCACGCAGTGCCGCGGCTGGATCGACGGCCCGTACAGCTGGAGCGCGGCGCCGTCGCCGGAGCCTGAGAGCGCTTGTAGACGTCCGTTTTTTCACCGGACGACGGACCGTCAAAAAACGGATATCCTTTGTTTGCTGTCAATTTTCTAGCCGGACCCATGTCCGATGCATGTGCACACGTCCATTATAAACTATACACCACCGCTAAATCCGGTGAAAAAATCGGGCCGTTGTCCGGTCAAAAAAACGGATGTCTACAAGCGGCCTGATACACACTGACCTGCAGCCGCTGCGTGTGCGGGACGCGGCGGCCGTTGAGGTAGACGTGCGCGTCGGCGTGCAGCGGCGTCACGGTGTATCCGCCGCCGTCCGCCGGCGCCACCACGCAGTGCCGCGGCTGGATCGACGGCCCGTACAGCTGGAGAGCGGTGCCGTTGCCGGAGCCTGGTACACACTGACCTGCAGCCGCTGCGTGTGCGGGACGCGGCGGCCGTTGAGGTAGACGTGCGCGTCGGCGTGCAGCGGCGTCACGGTGTACCCGCCGCCGTCCGCCGGCGCCACCACGCAGTGCCGCGGCTGGATGGACGGCCCGTACAGCTGGAGAGCGGTGCCGTTGCCGGAGCCGATCTACAAGTTATGTGTTCATTGAATACAAACATTACTTAGGTAACGTAGGTATTAATGTCATGACCTAAACGTTTAGAGATTTGGATATGATTCTGAAAGTACACATTACTAGAAACAAAAACTTTTCGTGAGTATTTAACCTGATGTTCGAAAAGAAAAATAATTCTGTGATGTTCGGAAGGCCGTCGAGCAATAATACCAACCTGCTCCGGCGACTCGTAAAATCGAACATACGTTGCTTTACCCCATACGACAGAAGAATACCTATGATATTATAATTCATCGATACGAAATGTATGAACATTTAATATTTAGACCATCCAATTTTAATAGCAGCCTAACGCAAAATTAATTACAGAAAGGACGATCTACAATTCAAAATTAACTATCATTAGTCGGCTATTTCTGCTTATTGAAAAGTAAATTAATAATTACCAAATAATTACATGTTACCTATAGATATGGTAACATTGAATTTGTATACCCTCGATAATTTACAGGCCCAAAGCTCATTTAATCGATGGCCGCAGCCAAGGCCTAGGTGAACCAATAAAGTGCACATGACGTCGCATACCGTCCGAAGTGCGTCACTGCAGGCAGGTGAATTTTTTATGAGGCACAACTTCACAAGTGTTATTGGCATTTCCAGGTAGTATGACAGAGCATATTTAATGCACTAATCAATCAACTTTTTTTATTTCATAAATAAGTAATATTCACGGGAATCGGAAATAACTGGTTTGATGAATTTTTCAGTATACCAGACCATACATGCTTTTAAAAATATGATTTCCCAAGATATCTCGGGAAGTCAAAATGTCACAACAAGCTCTGATTTTCTGATATCGTGATGTAAAATGTTCCAAATTCCAAGCTTCAATACTCAATACTTTCAATACTGCTGGAACCTTGGGCAGTACCGTCTTTAATAGTCTTTGATATTCATCAAGAATAAATAAGCTTGGCTCACCGCCATCAGAGAAGCCTAGAGGTCGTGAGCTCATCATATAGATTATATTATAGATGATGCGCACGTACTGTGAAAAACCCCGCGCATTTCACATTACATGGGGCCGTATGTAATGTGCGAGCGATGCTTAATCAAAGAGCGCAGAAAAGACCGGACCAGGGCCGCAGGAAGGGCGCCGTCATAGATCAAATCGGGAGTATAAAAAGCAGTTACGGCAGTGCACCTACCTCAACCGTGGAAGACGTAGCGTGGGCAGGCCTCCCACTAGGTGGACCGACGATCTGGTGAAGGTCGCGGGAGGTACCTGGATGCAAGTGGCGCAGGTCCGGTCTTTGTGGAAATCCTTGGGGGAGGCCTTTGTCCAGCAATGGACGTCTTTCGGCTGAAACGACGATGACGACGACCTACCTCAACCACATCCGTGATGCGAAGCCGGCGGCCGTTTTCGAGCGTGGCTCCGTCCGGGGCAACCTCCACGAGCGCCGGCTCGGTGCCGGGCCGGCCGCCGCCGCCGACGCCGGCCGCCTTCTTCTTGCGCCGCCGCGGCTGCGCGTCCGCCGGCCGCCGCCGCACGTGGAACATGATGGAGCCTGCGGGACACGACATGTTTAGATACAACGAAAAACAAACGACAGTCGCTTATTATAAACAGCAACTATAGTCTGGTCTGTGAGCACGTAGAATTTTGTCCAATGACCCCAAGCTACCCATCCTTATTGCTCGCGCGTAATTATGTTGCTATCGCGCTCGCACACTCACTGCGGGTGCCAGTCGCACAGTCGCGACAGCAATATAATTACGCGCGAGCGATAAGGATGGGTAGCTAAGGGTCATTGGACAAAATTCTACATGCTCACGGACCGGGCTTTAGTGAACGAAAACATTTGGTGCAACAAATATATCACCAACAGGCACGTGATTAATTAATTTATTGAAATTAATGGAAACGAACATTGTTACGAAAACTACTCATAGACGTGTACGTACATCATCATTTGAGTTTTGAATATTAATGAATTGCCACTCTACTCTCGAACACTATTTGACCCGCTCGAAACATCAAATGTTTATGTCCAATATAACTTCGATCAAAGATATCGAATACGTTCATCAATAATTTCCCAGCAATACGGCATTTATAGAAATAGATTGACTTGAGTGGCATCTTTACGGAAAAGTTTGACAGTTGTGTAATATTGTGTAAGCCAAAAAAACGAAGGCAGGAAACGAGACTCCACTCTATAAATTAAAAAGTTTCAGATTGACATTATTATTTTTCCTCGGATGTTTTTTCTTTTTTACCACTCCAGCCAAAGTGATTCGAGAATAGATATGCCTGCCTTGCTAAATATACAGTAATAATAAAATATAAACATCGACACAAAGACAAGACAGCAAAACTAAATACAGGTAGGTAGGTAACTTCAAAACAAACTGCTCTACATCGAGTCCCACGGCACAATGTCTTAATGTGATTTGGGAACATTTTAGGAGCGCTACATTTAGTGACGTGTGGGGTTAAGTGCAGTGGAGGGCCCGCTCGGGTGTGGGGCGAGGGCGCGCCTGTAGTGTCAACATCATTAGCGTGTACATTGTCGCCCGCTCCGCCGCCGCTACGAGAGCCGCTACGGGCTACGGCTACAGCTTTCGTAGCGACTGCACAAACCTCCCCGTGTTCACACTAATTTTCTCACACAATTTCCGTAAGTTTATCTTGTTAAGTCGGGTGTGCTGTGATTAACGGCTGAGCGCACGTTAGCTTTGATCGGCGCGAGACTGAATAAATCAACTTCATTAATGTTGATATCTGAAACTCATTCATGTATTCATAAAAGTTTAATACAAACAAACGATCGATCATAACGGCATCGATATAGTATGTTTGTTCATGATACCATTTTTAGTATCGACTGCCTAAGCAAAAGAATAATTAACAAACAATGTACTTTATGGAGGCGGAGGCAAGTAATTGTTTAATCGCACATAAAAGCACGTTCAAAGCAAAGAATGCAGCATGGTTCAATGGAATGGCAAAATCAATAGGCACCATGCATTTAAAACATTAACTGCCTCTGCGGCTCACAATATTAGCCGAGCCGTCAGGACCTGAATAGACGTAGTTTCTCGATGAATACTTTATTATGTACTCAGATCCAATGGCATCTTGAGTGAAATCGGCGCGTGTCTTAACGAAAAGCTGTATTATGTACCTAAATCTTTACAACAACGGTATAATGCTCATAAAATGTATATCCATTTTATGAGTATTGGTTCGCATCCACACAAAATGGGAAAGATAATACTCAGAAAATGTAACGATGTGTCGTTTGTGAGTTTAGTACGGTATCGTTCTACAGTGTATCAATGTTTTATAGACAGAAAAACGCATAAAACGACGATTTCACAACGAAAAGCACACACCATTTAAATGTTTATTGTTTGAATTACCAAGCACGACTTCCTTTTTTTCGTTACGGAGACGCCAACTATAGGATCTGTTGAACAGCATGCTCGGAGATCGATTGTGACTTTGTCAGATCCATATCCTCAATGTTAGACCGTTTTGTGAGGAGATACGTGGTGTCAAACCATCGCGGTTTGATTTATATTGGGACACCACTCCATGACGTCAAAGTAGGCTGATGATGATGCCATGTGTCTTCTTTTGTAATAGTTCTGCATGCCACAAGCAATCCAGTGTCACGTGTTAATTTCCCCACAACTCTTTGATACATAGTACTTTAATTAAATAGGTTGCCCGAAAAAAATTTTTTCGAATTGTAGGCTAACGATCTTTAGTCACGCAATATCTTCCGTCAGGTTGTGTGTGGTATTAACAGAAATCTGTCAGGCTGTGTTAAATCCTAGATTATTTATTTGTTGTCATAAATACCATAAATATACGACTACATGTGTGTGTATAAGAATTAACTTTAATTAATATAAGATACATGTCAATGCCATAAAAGTAAAACAAAATAAAATTTATATCTTCTTGTGCCCTTTCTGCCAAAGAAGGGCCCACTCAATTTGAAATTTCTTCAAAGCCTAATCTCATGAAAGGACAAAATCAATTGTAAACTTTAATTAGAAAACTTTTCAATATTTCAAACTCACAAACCAGAATCGATTGTCAAATTATGTCATTCTTGGTTTAGATCACGCATGAAAAAATAAGCTACTAAAACTTTCCATAAAATGATACTGAAATAAAGTCAACCTAATAGGTACAAATGCAGTTAGTTCATTTAAATTGTTATAGTGATAATGCCATGTAAATCGACTACCATAGAATTAGTAATACCTGTGCTATAGCAGGTATTTGGGTGATACACGATTTTTGATGTTTTACAGTCACTATGATACGCACAATAAAATGCATGATATCAGAAAACTTTTAAATAAGTTTCACATGCTTGGAGATGTCCTGGTAAGTCGTTCTCTGGTGGTCGCGAGTTTCAAATATTTTTGCTGTCGCACTTCGGATGTATGCCGGCCATGTCCAGCGAAGAGCATTGCGAGGGCCGACACTAATTAATAGGTGTGTTGTAAAGAACAATGGCACTGCCTGCGACGGTGGGAGGCGTGCGGCCGCGCCTGCCCTGTCGTCGCGTGCTTGCGTGACCGCCAGACCTATAAAACCTCTACCTCTACGCGTACCTGTTGCTCCCTCACTAAACACAAACACATTTCGACATATCCGACAACACGATCGAACGATAATTACGTTAGCTAATTGTCCAGCCGAAATCAGTTTGAACGACATTAAAATTTTAAAACGAACTTAAACTACATTGTCTGAATGCCTACGACTGAAGTTACTTTAGCCTTAAGCATACGTAATCATGTGGAGTGACGCTATGCAGATACTGCATTGGCAAGGGCGACACATCGTAACTGGGACACAAGTAATAAAACCCGATAAACGTTGAGTTTCCTACTACATACGTCCGTATCAAATTCCCCTTTCATCTTTAAAAAGACTTCTCTAACAGCGAAATGGTATCAACGTTACGTATTCAAGAGCGGTAAGATAATAACCGTAGCGCCAATTCTTATAGCGACCGGTTTCCTGAACTGCCACTCTACATTTACAACAACTTCGTGTGAGCCCGGTAGCGATCACTTCAGATTGGGAAAACCTTATCCTCTGAAAGGTCACGCACGGGTTGATATGGATGAATCTTTCGTTACACTTAGTGTGAAATAGTCAATTTTCTCACAATATACCTTTGGTTGTCCTTGACCCTCATGCCCTCTGACATTTAATACTAAGAATAAACATTTAAATGACCACAGCTAGTTTTTTATATCTGTCATAGTCAAAGGACGATATGCAGTCTCTTCGCGGAATGACTGGTTTATCCTAGGTTTGACCAAGGCCTTCAGGCAAACCCCGAAGTGAATTCTTATTTCGGCCTTTGACTAAGTCAAACCTAGAAGTGCCTAAACTGTTCAGTCAAACGTCGAAACCTAAATAACCTGTATCGGGCTTTGCCTAGTCAATCCTAGAAACGACTGTCAGACTCAGTCAAAAGTTGACGGCTAATAGAAAACCGGCCAAGTGCGAGTCGGATTCGCTCACGAAGGGTTCCGTGCGACTCTGATGTTGTATGGGAGCCCCCCTTAAATAATTATTTTATTTTAATTTTATGATTTATTTTTTAAATAGATATGCAACTAAATNTGCATGGGAGTCTTTAAATATTTATTTTATTTTAATTTTATGATTTATTTTTAAAGTAGATAATATGCAACTAAATAATATGTGAATATTCAAGGGTTCACCTGTTTACGTCTTAATATCGGGCAGAAAACTTCAAAAAGTCACGTTTGCTGTAAAGAAGCCCCCCATGAAACATTTAATTTATAATTAAATTATTTATTTTTAAAGTGAATAAATAATAAAATATTTTGAGAATGATTCATGAGATAAGTACGAGCCTGGTAAANTTAATATCTGGCAGAAAACTTCAAAAAGTCACGTTTGCTGTAAAGAAGGGGGCTTCTTTACAGCAAAATGGGGGGCCATGAAACATTTAATTTATTATTGAATTATTTATTTTTAAAGTGAATAAATAATTAAATATTTTGAGAATGATTCATGAGATAAGTACGAGCCTGGTAACAGTCAAAATTCAGCGAAATCATAGTAATAAGGTCTCGTTTTAACTCTTTATCCTCTAAGGTACAGAACCCTAAAAATTAGTAATTTCAAGATCGGTCTAGAAACACTGATAAACAACCGCAGTAGTTTAGTTACTCGTACCTTCACCTAAAGAGATAGCTGCGCGTGTAAACAATAAGTTGGATATCAGAACATAATGAAGTATAGTTTACTTTAAAGTCTTAATTGAGGTTTGACTAGTCAAACCCCGATTTCATCAAATTGAGTTTCGACGTTTGCCTGACCAAATTAGTTACTCCTAGGTTTGACTAACATTCTTTAGTCAAAGGCCGAAATGTTTGGGCTTTGACTAAGACTTCTAGTCAGACCTGAGGATTGACTAGTTATACCTAGGAGTACCGGAACTTCGAGGTTTGACTATAACATATCCACCATACCACGCAAATTAGCTCGATAGAAAAC